CATGGTTTTGACAACTTTTTCAAGTCCTCCCACCATAGAGGAAAGTCTTTAAGACCAAAATCCTGCATGTGCTTAATATGCTGTTGAAGAAAATGCTCTGGAAATTTACGAAGGATTAAAACCGACCAAGGTCGGTTTTGACTTCGGAGATCCGAGCTGTCGTTTCGTCGTCGATTTAGATGTTTCTGAAGATAGCCCTTCCATGATTGACCCCCGCCTCATTGCCGGGGGTTACTCATGATGATTAAGGACACCATAAATTCCTCGTGGGCGAAAGTTCGGTCCCCAAGTTGTGCTATGTAAAAACAGACTATGTTGCCTTATGGTGGGCGTTAGTTTACCCGCACTGAGTCTGCGTTGGTCATTACTGCTGTGCCTCTGTGCTATGCGTTAGACGGCGATGGTGACTATAGGTTGTAGGATCTCGAAAATGTGCTGCATGGAAAACCTGCCTACTGTGCTTGTTTCAATAGGTCGTTGGTTGTTGAGTACCGCTCTAGACCTGGAGTTTGCCTTCGGTTAAGCTACCTTGTAGCACACATTTTCAGTGCGGATTCCATTAACTTATTAGCTTACTTAGTCTTTTCAGCCAGTCCCAGGCGTTGCCCCTTCAGTTTACCAGTACCTCGAATGAGCTAACGCCAGAGAACTGATAAGCGATCGTATCGCTTCGGTCCCCCACCGCAGACGTCACGATCCAATTCATCATTACTTTCCATGGCCTTAGCTCAAAGAGTTTAGAAGCGATCTTATTGCTTCCGTCCTCCAAGGCAGACGTTACTCCTCACTTTGCCATTATCTGCCATGACCTAAGCTCAGGCAATTGAGAAGCGATCGTGACACCTTTATTTCCTACCGGTAGCGAGGCGATTGTAGATACTACTCTGCACTCCGCATTTACTTGACTTTAACTCAGAGAGTCGAGGAGCGATAGTATCAGTCCGGTTACCTCCATGTACCGCAGCGAGTGCAGGCACTTCCCTTCACTGAACACTTATGTAACCGCGACTTAAATCAAAGGTATGAGTAGGCAGTTGGATTGAACCGACTTTATATACAGGCATTCATTCACGGTGCGGCGATGAATCGTCCACGTCAACATTCATTTACTTTGGATATGTCGACGTTGTACTTTTGGCGGCTAATGAGCGTTTCGTCAACTTGAACTTCCATTCCGATACCTCCGATCTGATCGATTTTCCTCACGGGGGCCGCGGGGCAGACGTTCCGACAGCCGTTGCGCGGCGGACTCCAACACCTTCGCACTTAGTGACCCATGTTCTCCTCAAAAATGCCAGCCAAATCTTCATAATTGCTTCCATTCTTAACCGGCTTCTCGCAAATACCGAGCCAATTCTAAGTGCTTTTATCTTTCTGCATCGTGCACACCCGAACACATAGCCATCCTTGCTGTGTTTTCGGACATGCAGCTGCATTTCGTGTCTGCATTGTCAGGTTAGTACGGTTGGCAGTAATCGCCTGGCCTGACAGTACTCCATAATCTTCCCGGAGTTAATTATTTCCATTTCTATTTCAGTTTTCTTGCGTCGACCTGGATGCGGTTCAGTTTCCCTGTTTGCTGCGGATTATGATCTGCAATTTTAGGAAAAAAATAATAACTTAAAAATACTCTTCTCCAATATATATTTCCTATTTACACTGCGCCTTCGCTTAGTTACATTGGATTTTTTAATATCTGCATACATACATTGCCAGTTACCAATACACAACTCATGCTTCCTTAACTTTACGTAATTCGCAGATGAAAGTTCTGGGGAGTGGGTGCCGAGTGACTCCCTAACTCTAAACTAACGTTGATCTTAAACCCTAACCCTAACCCTAAAACCCGGACCCTATTCTTAACCCTAAAGTCCGAATCCTATTCCTAACCGTAAAACCCGGACCCTACCGTAATTGTGAATCATATTCGCAGCAGTCCGCGAAGCCCCTCAGATTGATGGAGTCAGCTGGTAGTATTACGCCTGCCAAAATAAACAATAGTACGAAAGTGATAAATTTTGACCACTTACTGGAGTCAATAATCTGTCCATTGTTATGTGGCTCAACTGCTTGACTTTGCCAGCTTGGGAGGCTAACAGCTGATGGAATAAGTTGGTCCTTCACAGAACTGCAGGTCGGGCTGCAGTGACTCCTCAATGCGGCCTTTACGGAATTCTCACTGATATGAGGTTCGAGTCAACCTTAATAAGAATAGGTACACGTAATGGGGACCACATTGTGTGTGAATCGAGTGGACTCGAGTGTCTAAGCTTGTCGACCACTGCGTCCGCATCCGCCTCCGGACGTCTTGACATTGTCATGCCACCGGAACAAGTTCGGTGATTTAGGAGAGAAAGCGTCAGATCCTGCTTGAATTCGCCTCACTACAAACTGATCAACGCACAAGTCAATGACGCTGCGCCAACCCCGCGATGGACGTCTTCGCTTGTGGCGGTTGCACTGTCGGTGTCGGTGTGACTGTTCCTTATGGTCGCATATTGATTAAATTTGGCTCTACAAGGAACATGTTAACTCGGAAGATACCGACTGAGTAGACCGTAGGAATCTTAACGGTTCTTTACCTCCTCCAACAACCGTATCCTACCTTTAATGTACTTTCGATCTTCAGCCTCATCCGAAAGTTCGACTGTCGTTGCGGAAGATGCCCACCGTGTACTCCACAGCAGGGTGAGATTAGCGGCATCGACTCGCATGCGAGTTAGCTTAAAGTGATATTAGACGTGCGCAGCATGTGCTGCACTCTATCTTCCTTCCCCACCTGGATCTGGTGTCAAGACAGAGTCAAGGAGACCGTGGGCGGGAGAGTGTACAGCTGACTGGCACGACGAAAGCCGCACCTAGGCGTACCACCACACTCTGGTCCACAACATACACCGACAGGGTTTTATGCAGCGAGGAAAGAGGGTGCGGCGTGAGCTTGCAAATGGGCCTGCGAAATTGTGGGATTTGTTATGGGTGCGCATTCCTAGTAACGTCTTCCGGACTCCGATCTAGCCCCCGTGTTGGTTCATCGAGTCTGCAACCTGGCCCCTTTTAGCGGCACTGTTATAAAGACCACAGAAGGAAGAATCCATCAAAGTTTGGCGGCGGAATTGGGTGATATAGCGGCCTTCTCAGTCCATAACATTCAAAGACGACTCGGTCACAGATGCCGTAATAAATTAACGCGCCAGTCGACAGCATGCGCAGGATGAGTCTTTGCCCCTCTTCCTGCCCCAATCCTGTTTCACCAGTAAGACCGTACGAAAGATCCTGGAAATGGGAACGAACATAACTATAGATCGGGCATACTTCATAGTTCAGCGTGATAAATAGTACTACTATTCTAACGCAAACTGCACCCGGCCGGACAGGCTCACGGAATGTTCTCCACAACGCATCAACCTCTTAAGTTATTGCCACGAAATGGGTACCAAAACCGGATGTGCACACGGTAACGCGATGAGGCTTCAAGCGAGCAAGCAAGACGAGTAGTGCCATCAGGTCCTCGTGCGCTTTAGCCTGTCGCTCTAAAACGAACTGACTACCGATTCCAAGCGAGTGAAGCTCATGCATGGAGGTCACGTAGATTGAGGGCACTTTACGTGCGGTCGACAGGCTGAGAAAGAGCTCATAAGCTAGGTTTAATCATCACGACTTGCACATCGTCACCTTCGCCACAACTCAGCCTACAAAGACAAACGCAAAAATGGAGACAATGGCGACACACGTGAACAGAAACAGTGACGTTACGGTAGTATAAAGCCTGAAAGAACACCATGGAAGCCGTTTTAGCACCTTCGTGTCCTCTAGACCGGCCTTGCAGACATTTCCAGCACGCAACATACTTATTAGAGAATATTTGCTTCATCGTACCTCACTAACCGTCCACTGACTGACCAGGATTTCGTGCTATGTGACAGATAGGGGAGCGGCACGGGTCCCTATTGGTGCGGAATGAGCTGGCAACTAAGCGCGCCACCACATCCCTCCGTTGATGGCTGCGCATTGTCGATAATGCCTGCCGGATTCCGGACAAAGACGCCAGAAAGCTTACCAGTGAACTTAAAATATATGCATTCTATAGCTCCCTGTGCTCTAAACAAAATAAGGTAACAACTAAAACAGAGGGGCTTGTTAGACTGCTGGCAGAAAGTAGTTCCAAATAACGGACATACCTCACTTAAAATTTTAGAAATGGAGCAACTGAACACTAACCTCCCAGACTGACGCTCATAGAAGTATAGAAGGTCAGAGTGAATAAGTAATAATAGGTGTTTAAGGAGTCAACAACGTGGACAGGCAAATGGATAAAATCTAATACAGAACTGAAATGCTGCGATCAGCAAGTAATGAATACTTAGGACGGGGTTTGCTCTCGAGTCGCTTCTGCGCCGAGATTTATTGATTTGGGAGGCTCAAGTCCACTTCAGCAATCTCCCAGTATTATCCAAAGTCATTGTGGAGGGAGCCCTTCATGACACTTCAATCGTAAAGAGCCAGAAAATTACCATGCTGGATTTGGGCCAGGAACGCTGAACGCGAGTCGATGGCGTCAGCTCGTCAGCAATCAAGGCCTTGCCTTTGCCCACGATTTGAAACAGGCATAAATATCGTGTTGAATAACTAATTGGCAGACTTCAGATCCAATTCCTATCAGTTCCCTTGGAAGCGAATTCAGATTTGAGCTGGCTATGAAATATAACATCTGTGACACGTAGTCACCGTGAATTTTATACAAAGGGCCACAATGAATGAAAATATATTTAGGGTGACGACAGGGGTTCGGCATAAATGGAGTCTGTGAGCGGAGTACAGTTGAATGACTATAAAATTCCTGAAGGTGAAGCAGGAGAGCTGGAAGATATGGGAGACCAGCATCAGAGATGTGAACGGATTCCAATTGTCTATTTACGCGCGTGAAGCGAGCATTCCGCCGGCACTGAAGGGACTCGGAGGAACCGGAAAAGCTGAAAGACAAGTTCAAGTCCGCGAAGAAACTAGGAGGGTGTGCACGTTTGGACAGGTCTCCGATACCTTGGATTCTGCATGTCTTCACATACAGTAATGTCCTTGGCTGAAAATAAAGGAAATTATGGAAAATAAACACAGTGCAACAAACTAGTCTGTCCAAGACGCGAGTGGCCACCAAAGAAAAATTGGGAGACGAAAGTAGTGCGTTAACTCACCAAGGGATGGACTCAGCTGCCAATCCATGTCATTCGGAGCACAGGGACAGACTGGATCTACGACTACTAGTTTTGTGTTTGTCTCTGGGATCGGAGTCGCAGACCAAGCTCGAGAACAGCTCTCTGAACAGTTGAAGATACCGGAGGTGACCGGCCCCGCCGGACCTTCTGGTGGGAGAGGCAAATCATCGATATATTCAGTTTCGTTGTCAGCAGTGGGAATCGCATTACCGCCATAAGTTTCATTTTCTAACACCGTGTTTGCAGAGGCACTGGAAGAACTCCCTGCCGAAGTGACAAAAATTGCCCCATCGGTGGCGTAGTATCGATAACTTGACTTAATGCAAGACATGTAGTCGCCCCTTCCAGAGTGACCTGCAGCTCCTAGGAAATAATCACAAAGAGATTTATCATATGAAAGCCAAGGTGCGTCCTCTGACACAACTTTAACTCTGAGGATGAACCAAGTCTTGACATAAACAAAGAAGACAATGAAAATGGAAGATGGTAAAGCAGTCCCAACTTATGCATCTCCAAGTCATGCGTGCATTTAGAGGTGCCCGCACGCTTTTTAAAGGTTTTGTTTTAATTCAGATGAGGTTTAACTGACTAAGACAGCAGTGTCCCCGTTTTCTGATGTATATAAAACATCAAGATTCGTGGAACATCGACTGATGTCCTTTACCACGCTGTTGGCTGGGAAAAAATTGCTGAAATGGAGTAAAAAACTAATAAACACACATAATTCTGGAATAACTCTTAAAGCACAACATGCCTCCCATCGAGAGCCTTCCCGCTCATCGAAGGTAATTCTGTCTAGAAAAATCATGATTTCAAGTATATATAAAAACTGGATTGATGACATCCTTCACCTTCTGTTACTTACCGCTCTCTATTTTGACTCCTCTCCCTACAATTACTGGGGTGAAATGTAACTTTCACCTTTGAAAATGAAAACTTTACTCTTGAAACGTCAGGACATACAACCAGTGTCCCCAGGAACGTCCTTCTTTTCATTTATGACAGGGGACGCGGAATTTTGCTTCTATTTGCTATATTTTCGGGTGCTAAGCGCCTGAGAGGGTACGACTGGAAGCCTGTGCCTTTTGGATGTTTGCAACATTCACACAAAGTTAATTTATATACAGGTGCCTTTAAGACCGCGTGGTTCTGAAAAGCCCGTCTATTGGTCGTGAACACAAATCAGATGAAATAGTGGGTGGCGCGACACGGCGGGTGAACGATTCAGACATTCTTCAAAGACTGTCCCTTTTGAGTGTGCAAATATAACGAATTTGTTTGCCAAAAAGTCGCCAAGTCTTCTGAGTTTATCGGCGAATGCGGAACTGCGCTGCTCTGCAGATGATTAGGAGGTGTGCTAGTGAACTGTGAGAGAGAGTCGCTGAGTAGGAACGTAAGCTATGAAACACAAAAATAAAAGATGGCAAACGTAGTATTCGCTTCTTAATCAGCAGGTCAGTACAGTAGTGTACGTCTCGCCCGAACAGCGGGAGTTGGCAAGCAACCATTGTACAGCCCAACCTTGTGCTAGCAGAAGGCGTCCGCTCAAGCTCTCCAGCTACTCTGACCGAAGTTGGACTGAGTCACTGAGGTCAGAGAGAACGAAATCTTAGTCCATAATCTGTCAACCAAACAAATGGCGCTCACATAATTAAAACTGCTAATTCCTGAAGCTTAATTTAACACCATTGACGATACTTCAGTTGACCTCGTGGCCACGGTGGTATTGATTTTCAAACAAACGGGGTAAAGCGACGAGAAAAGGAACCTTATTCGGTAGTAGCTTATCATACTGGAGGTGGCGCACAACCCATGCACATTCATTGCCAAAGGCACCGGGGTTTGACACTACAGAAATCGAAATTGCGAAGGCTTATTGTTTGTCTCAGTAGGGCTTTTTTCTACACGGTAGTCGAACACTCTTAAACAGATCGAATTGTGCAGAAGATGGTGGTTCCTCTAGAAAATTCGAATGCACGTGTTATTTGCTGCCTATTTGTACGGTGTTGCCTCAAATGCCTCATTCTCTTCTGTTTACAAGCGTGTCTAAGGACAGCTGTTGCATCGTGTTCTTCTTCCATGGGAACGGTATGCGCAGAAAAACTGACTTCAGCTGATGAGTTGACCGATAGGGCTTCTATTTGTTGCAATACTGCCCCAGCAAGTAGGTTGGACAATGGCGACCTCGTCGTTGTTTCTTTCGTCCGTCCGTAAACTATTGACACACTTTGGCCTTTCAGAGAACTGAAAACCATGAGTCGAGGGAAGGACTGGGTACTCATGGAAACAATCGAGGCCTGGAACATCTGGATAATTTTCATCAACAGTTATGTTGCTTTCCCAATGCAGCTCGACAGACGGAATATTAGATGGGAACTCAGGTCATACATCAACCCAGGCACAAGTAAACTAACACGAAAATGCAGACCAGCGTAAGAACAAAAGAAGGATGCAAACAAGATTAGCGACGCAGCGGTGACAACCGGAATTGATGAAAACGTCGGCAATGACCGTCGACACCCACACGCTAGGCCCCGGGGATCGGGACAACATTCCTTAACTACCGTGATTCGCGGGTAAAAATCGCCTCAGACGATGAAAGTGTGCTCACATTTGAATCTCCGGGACAATGTAACAGTGGCTACCGAAACCATAGTCCCAAACAAACAAAAATACTTCCGAAGACAGATAGTATGCATTCCAAGCCGTTGGAGGCAACCTCTCCCAACAGTTGTGTGGCCATTCCGGAGCGGCTCAGTGGTGGAAATATTATAAGGCAATCTAGTCAAACGCGAGACTACGAACAGGGGAACCTGAACCGTACACAAACGTTGGCTACTTCGGTAGAAGAGAAGTAGTTTGTAGTACAGTAAACTTTTTCCGCATTTAATTTACTGTGTTACCCCTTTTATCGCGTCCCGATGACGAAAGAAGGTCAAGATGACGAGGTGTGACATGGATGTAGTGGCTGAGAAAGCTAAACGGCCCGTCTGCGCATGCCAAAATCAACCTGCTACCAGGCTTCAGTGAGATAGTCTCCGATCTCACATGAAGAGAAATTCCAGCAGAACTGCATTATGTCAGGGCATTTGCCGCTCGACCTTTGTTCCGGGTAAAGGCGAGTTATCTCGTCAGCTGGCCAACTCCACAGCCAGGTACATTGGCGCGTCATGATGGCATAAACGCGTGCTGTAGTCAGGTTGGATTGACCTTAAACGCCCTCGTCTCGTGACCAATGAGTTGACAGAATCAAGCCGGTTGGGAATGAGATTGGGCAGAGCAGCTGAAGTGACGTTAAACCTTCGTATAATGCGTCATGCACAGGATTCATGCACATACTGCATGCAGAGCTTAGAAACGCCCGAAGGAGGACCGCCATCATTGGCGTCTGTCTGCAGAGTGCCCCGATTGGCAACGAGGAAGCATTCCTCGGCATCATCCTCTCTTTCCCCTCTTTCATGCTCCACTGAACTGCCCGAGCTGGTCCGCCGAGTCTAGGCTCGGTGTCTGACGTTGAATAATGACCCCTGTCCAATGTGCTCCACACATGCACAGCGATAGTTAAGGATTATCATATACTTGACGTAACCGGACAAACATGTAATGAGATGACCTCTACTTTAACCCGACGCAAACCTTTGAGGAGCCGAACCCAAGCAATGTCATGAAATGGTAAAGTCAACCGACGAATCAGCGCAGGCAAAAAATATCAGGTAAGATCCTTTTTCATAGCCGTACCTGTTAGAGGTTAGGGGTTGGGGCTAGGGGTTTAGGTTAGAGGTTAGGCTGGGCCTTGTCTACTGCAGACACGGCTACGAAATAAGATCCGACCAAATATCCGATCATTCGCATTTGAAGAGCCGACCTTTTCAATTCGAGATGTTCAGCAGAATGTAATGGCACCATTTGTCAATTTTTGTGGACGAATAACTTTATAACTAAAAAAACCTAAGACAGGATCTTGAGTTTTTTAGTTTTGTTTCCTTCCAGCATAAGTGTTTTCTAGGTGTGTATATCTGCAGAGCTTCCAAATTCTTCCAGCATTCCTCCCCAACTGAACAGGATTTCGAAGTCTCTAGAGATAGCAAATAATTCTGTTCAATCAAATGCATTCTTACGCAGAAGTATCTTAAATACGCTCTCTTTTAGATCCACATGAGTTTCGAAAGGCTTCCGAATTCTGAAGTACTTGAGTGCTGGTGTCGTCCAAGTCCCGGCTTTTATGAGTATATTTTAAAAACAATAAAAATTAAAACTATTCGAGGTTTGGCTTCTGAGCACTAAAGCCGATATTAATGGGTAGAGTTTGAATAATGGACTCAAATTTTGCAGTACACTTCAGTTTATTTGAGGGAAACGTAGGTCTGGACCTTCTATCTCCCTATTTGTTACAAGAAATGGAAGTATAGCGAGAATTTGAAGACAGAAACATCAGATAACTACGGATAAGTCAATGAATCTGGGCAGATAATCGAATGATTTCAAGTGTTGAAAACAGTAACACTACTAACTAAGATGTGCACTAGTCAGTCTACGCATGGTGGTGCTATAGGAAATTGGTGCGATTTCAGTTGTCTGAGGAAGACGAAGTGAATGCCACCATTCGCGTGCAATGGACCTCCGAGAAGGCCGGAAAATCTGACCTCAGATTGTCGCCCTACCAACCTACTACGAAACGCACATTTTATTTTGCTCCTCATGAAAATACTTTATCTCTTCTATCTTGACCGTTAGCGATTTCATATCCATTGGGAAGAGAACATGTCAATTTCTGTTCACTTGCGACGCCAACTAGTCGAAAATAATTGAATTTCCGACGAAATCGCACCCGTGACCGTGTAGGATAGGGGTGGAACGTGTGGTTTTCGGTCTGCACCAGGTAAGAGTTCGATGCATCAGCTGTTTTGCCGTTCTTTGTAGTACTCAACTCGACTACAAAATTTCGCTAAGTATTTAAGCGCGAAACCTTTTCTCCTAACACAATGCTGTGCTCAAAAATGCGCAACTTGCGTTTGCGCATAAGACATGAAAAAGCTGATAAAAGGATTATTTAACAGAATAGTTTCCACAAAACTTTATGTTTGACAAATACACAATCGAATTAACGTACCAAGAACGAGCTGGCTCAATGTAATGCAGACTCTTAAGAGGGAGAGAGAGAGAGAGGAAATAAGAGGAGAATTATGGAGAATAAGGTGAATTTTCGTCGGGAGTATCAATTCCTAGTAAAATGGACAACATAGGAAACGAGTATTGCAGTATGTCTGAGGAACTAAAAATTCCGACATTTTTTCCAATTACATGGAGTAAAAGCACATCACCTTTAAAGGCATGTCACAGAAGGCTAATTGGATATGGGGCTGCCGAGTGCCAACTGACGATGGACATAAAGAACAACTAGCATAGAAATGTCCGGAACTGGCCTACTTACTTTGACAACTGCCAAAACAGACGAATCTGCGGACCAATTTTACAAACCCTTAAGGAGGAGTATCAGACCTTCCTTCGTATATGATATATTCATTCAGTTTCTTTCTGACTTTGTGTTCGCAATACAGAGCACTCGCCTGGTCCATATGTGGCTTCTGATTGCTCTAATCGGCTCGGGGATCCTGTGCAGGAGACGCTTAGAGGACAGGCAAATCCGAACCGCAATGGGGATATTCAGTAAGCATGCTAACCAAGTTTCCAATTTCAGGCAGAACGAAAATGTTAGCCAAAATGTTTTATAACGAAAGGAGGTATTAGTAACAGCCCTTTCGATGTCTTTTGTGGAAGGCGATGATTATGTCAAAGTAGAAAAGCGTGAACACTCTCCCTCATAAACGCTCATCGTCAACCTCCTGTAGTTCGTTGCGCAGCAGCGAGTGCCTTTTTGGTCAAAAGTTGGACGTCAGAGCAGGAGACAAAGGGTACGACTGGGAACACATCTAGTGAACTGGTAACTAGACAACAGGCACATTCGAGAAACACCCAGTAAGGCTATATTTAAAGTTATAAACCCAGTCCGTCTGGAAATCAGAGCTCCTTCGACTCATCTATGCAAAAAAACTCCATCACCGTCACCACGTCCACGAACAACTGAGAAGCAGAGAGACAGACTGGCGTCTGTTAAGACAACCGGGCCTACACATGGGCTTAAAGCTCAGATGGCAGAAGGCTGCACTTCAGTTAAGCTCGGACCGGTTGGCTGGGCTACAATGACTCCCAGCACGGCAATACACACCTTCTGTCACTTTTCTCACCCGTTTCTGTGATTTTTCGGTCTGATGCTGTATTGAACTCTTAAACATTTAACGGTATTTTGCAACAAATATGGAAGACGTCGCAATAATGTTGAAATAAAACGTCACAAAATATAAAACGGAGTAAAGCCTACCTGACCAGTTTTAGGGCCACTTCGAAGCAGACCATCAGGAAATTCAACCAGACTCGAGGATTAAGTGTATGTTCTAATCCTCTCAATAGACTCTGAAGTTGGAAATAATTATATAGCTTTGGTAAGCACTGACTAAGGAATGTGATAATCTGAACCAACTTGATTGAGAAGTAACCATCTCTTTTATCGAAAGTGAAAGTGGGTGTAAAAAGTATCACTCATGCTAACCACTGATTACTGGTTATACTTTGCAGGCAGCCTCAGCTTAATCTTCAACTGAAAAGAATACGCAAGCGTCTAGTTTGCCTCTTCGACGTTGTTAACACTTTGCGATTCCTACTGTGTATGCCTTGGTCAATATAGATAGTATTCTCAGATAACTTTATGGGCTGGAGCTTCATTAAATGATACACTCAAGTCCAAGCAGGAATGTATGCACCTCCTCGGACAACTGACATTCACTATTAACCTTCTGCGCACGCTGTCCCCTGCGGTCTTCGTTTTACGCAATTCTCAGGAAGTTTGCACACACTTTTCGAGTTCCACTCATATGGCGTGCATATTGGCATCGTCAGATGGTTTCCATCTTCAGCCGTGGAGGCGTTTCGTTTTGTAGATTTTTTCGGTTGTAGAAGGTTTGCGGATAACTAGAGCCGTTCGTTAGACCGGTAATGAAGCAAGACCTCTAGAGAACTCGTCTTAAGACATACGTACCAATGAATAATTAGATAGACGACAAACAACGAGAAGGAAACAAGAAAACTTACGGGGATAAGGCGTGTAGCCGGTGAGGTGCAGTTTCGATCCGCCAGCTCCGTGGTATCGCAAACGGACTGGTAGTCGTAGTATTTCACTCTTAAGATACGAGAAACAACAGGGAACGGTAGTCAGTAGAGTTAGTTTCTTCTTACTAGAAATCCGAATTTTCCTAGCTAAAACGTTATCTAACGTAAATTTTTCGAATGGAGACAAATTCTCGAATTTCAGGCAGAAGAGAACTGGTTGAGTACTCTGACTCCTGCAAAAGCTCAGAAGATCAAAAAGATAAATAAATGGTTCTGGTGACCGATCGATTTTTAAAAAAAACAGGAACCCTTACGTCCCTGAACTTGCTGTTTGTCAGACATGCAACCGGCAGGGTTGCCACACATTTTTACTTCAGCGGCCAAAACCACGCACCCCAGTAGAAATGGTCGATGATTCCTGATAATTTTAGGTCCTGCTCAGTACAAACTGCATGGACAGATCCCAAATGACAACTTCAGGAAAGTAATATCCACAGCAAAAGAAAAAGTGAATATGAACAAGCCCGAGGGAATGAAATTACAATTTTAATTCAAATGAAGAATCTTAAAGGGAAGGGGGTGGGGCAAAATTCCGATCTTTCTAGGCGTATAAATAACGAAAGTTGGTCCATCTGATTGCAACTCGAGCGAAAAAATTCTGAAAACCCATTTTTAGGCCTGACATTGAGGGTTATAAAAAGCGTGGTCAAATAACTTTGCAAGCTTCTTGTGGAGAATTGATCAAATTCCCATAAACCTGCAGTGCACAGCAATTTTCATCACTGTAACGGACCAGAAATCAGACAGAGCTGCTTGAATGGATTGGGGACACTTTTCGCATGGATCCGGGGGTGGGATTGGTGTAACTGCGGGTTGGTGAAGATTGCCGGTGTTCCTACCCTCACAACTGTCGACACCCCGCCCTCAACAGTAGCTGCAACTCTGGACTCTCACTTTGCGTCAGTACTCTATGGCCCCTCTCTGCGCTCTATTTGGCGACATGTGCATCCCCAAAAATCGTCACTAAAGCACCAAAGTCCACACCCATCACCACGCCTAGCCCTATCTGCCCACGCCTAATGTTACATACTAACCTACCTTACAATATTCATCTACGCGATACCTCCCTACCCCACGCCATGCATCACTACGATTCACTATCCTAGCGTTGGTATGACAGGCGACACGTCGCATGAACAGGCAATCCACATCTCACGTGCGGGGGAAGTGTGCCCCCCGTTCAGCCTGAGACAATCAGGTCGTGTAGGCCATGCCTGCAGGGGCTGTTTAGTGTCGTCCGTCACTGTCCCCGCGCCCATGTCCGATCTTGTTGACGTTGTCTAGCCATCGGAGCAGAGTGAGTAAAAGGAAATGGAGAGAGAGATGCTGAGCAAGCCGGCCTCATTATACACTAATTCACGTGCAAGGCACCAGCTGTGCGCTCTATTTGTGAAGCACACGGTGAACAATGTCGTTTGCGCAATAGACTGGTCAATCCGTAAGGCATATAAAATAATGATCTGAAGTGGTGTAGGATGGGAAGACTCTACCAAACTAGAAACGGGGTTCTGATCACTTTTGCCCTATGATTCTATTCATGTACTGCAAAGACGCTCCAGAGGCCTTTGATTAAACTGAACGAAAGTCACTTTGGGCGCAAAATATTGACAATGCCGTAAAATGTATGAATTATGAAAATTACGGTTCAAAATATACCTGCTGTACACCAGGTTGTTCAGTAGCTCTTGCATCAGCCACGGATCAGCGGAGCCGAGAAAATGACCAACCTTGGAAAAAATGACGCCTTAGTTGCATAATTTGGAAGCGTGCGTGTAAAAGCATGCCTGTAGGATTATTTCCATCGGAAGAAGCTCATTATTTAAAGGCACCCAAACTAACACCATTTAGTAGTTGAATGTTTACTCTGGTTCAACCTACTGTATCTTGTAAACATTCGCATCCACTGAGTTTTCCGAGCACCCAGGCTTTTACTTGACTCAAGACGAATATATCGGTGAGTTGATAGATGCTAACAGGTTTGCTGGTAGCGCCATCCACTCCAAGTACTTAATGGGAGAGTATAGGTGGATTTTACGAAACAACAGCCTACAGGGGCAGCGCGAAATGAAACAAATCCTAACCTTCCAATTGGATTGCATGAGATCACGTCTGTTGATGCCGTCCTCTTTGGCCAGTTTAAAGTTGCATAACGTCAGAGACGACTTAAAGGCCAAAAGCCAACTACTTCGAAGTAAAACTCGTGAGTAAGTTAGTTGCTGAAGTTGCTGCAAAGGAGCAGCTAGCGGGCTAAGAAACGAACATTCAGGTAATTCGTTTTTTCAACACCCAAAGGACCAAGCAATATACTTTCCGGTGGACAGGTTCTTGACTTCCAAGTTTCCTAAGTTGGTGCCCAGGGAGAACAGTCAGTTGGTCGACGAACAGCGTAGATACACAATAGGAACAGACGTGGTAAGCGGTATAGGTACATCCTCAACATAAGTACTTGCCAAAACCTAACGAGCTAGTTCCATCATTGAAGTATGGCTCAAATACTAATTAAGTAGGAATTCGACTATGGTTCAGTTTGGATCCATTAATATTACGCCGTTCGCCTGCTGAAGCCGCTGAAACCTGACCTAATCTTTCCTGAAACCTTTCAGATGGAAACGGAAAATGCCTGCCTAGCAGACTTTACTCCCTAGTCCCAAAAATTTCCAACAAAATAACAGGACTAACGCTTACCTGATAGTTCAGAGCTGGTTTGTTAGCAGCAAGGATTAAGGCAGCGTCGTCTAAAAGGTAACAGACCTTGTCTCCATGGCACTCAGGAAATTCAGAGAGTTTTGACTGCAAATATGTTTCTTTCAAAGTTAGGCCAGCGACTAAAAAGCAAAAAAGCGGGTTGTGGACCACAAGCAGTCAAAGTGGTAATAAACGCTACTAGTTAATAAACAGTAGAAAAGTAAATTATTCAACCTGCAAATGTGTTGGAAATGGCATTTTGCGAAGCCGAAATCCCCTTAAAAATGGTCACGCGTGGAAGCGGAGCAATAGGGATAGTAGCTTCGAATACTGGAACCTCGGTCCACATATTTGTTGTGTTTGGCATTGGTAAGATGAGTGTGTCACTGCCATTGACCATTGTCTTGTTGCCTGGAGTTATATGGGACAGAATAGGAGCCGGAAGCGTCGGATCTGGATGGAGGAAAATGAGAGTTAAGGACAGAAATAAAACAGACTTCGTTGCGATGGCTCGTCCCGTTTCGATTTGTCAAAATAAACACGATAAAAATCACGTTAAGTCCTTCAAATCTCACCCTCCATTTTTGGCTGAATCCAAAAGAGGAGACCTTGAGAGTCCAAAACTCGTTGCCAGAGCGAGGAATTTGCAAAATCCGCAGTCAAGTCTTCCTCGAATCCGTGGAGCCTGAAGATTCATGCATTTACACAAACGGCAATTAAATATGCTCGTTGTGGATCGTGCCTCCTGTATTTCCATATTTTTTCTTTACCGGTAACAGGAGACTTTACTTTTATTTTCGTCAAAGAATTTTCTTAAAAAACCATATCATAATTCGTTAAATATTTGTTTTAATAGTATGGAGAAGGAAAATGCGGATGCGATTTTGATCTTGGCGATTTCTTCCTTTAAGTAAAAGGTCTTATACTTAGCTACCTCGAGGACATTATCAGCCACCTACGTAAGAGACTGATTAAATGTTAAGGCGAGCGAGTAAAGGCATTAGTGAATGACATGTTTGGCTTGTATCCCATTCCTACATAATTGTACTGGCCTGACGAGAATTTATTGGAAACGAGTGCATGCCCGCCAACTAGTTTTCTGGATACTGCCATGGAAATTTCCTATTTAAGAGTGCATGTTATCACACGATCTGATGGATTTTTCTCCTAGCGTCTCAAACATTGGGGGCTTTTCATCGCCGGAGCTGATAATATAGTAGCTGGCCGTCTCATGAAATGTTAAAGGGAATTTCGAAACGCGTTTTCGATTAGAAAGAATCACTTTGGTGGTTTAAAATATTGCTTACCTTGCAGAACGATTTCGAAACAACGCACCGCAGGATGCCAGCTTTTGAATGAACTTCTTTTCGACCGCCTGCATAAAGCACGCTCGAAAAATGACTGTTCAAGTAGTATAATTTTTTCGACTGACTTTTCCATGCGCTTATAAATCCGGGCATCTTTCAATTTAAAAAGGCTCGTAACCATGAGATTTCCTAAGATTGTGAAATGTCCATTTGTAGAGCATCACTAATGGTGTTAATAAACTGTACAACATGAATCAAATCCGCTGCAAAATTCTATGAGCCCCTATATGACGTCTTCTAAATAGCATAGAGGGAATGTATACTTTCTCCTTCCACCGGAAGGCATACATCACGTAATTTAGAAACCCTCAGCGCAAGTGCAAGTGCAGGTTAAGTTCAAAATCGTTCGGGAAAGGGGAAAGGTTTTTAAGCCGAAAGATGCTATTTCGCCACCAACGGAGTACAAGAAAGAGTATTTCTGTTCATGGTTTCTACAAGATACATTTGAATTTATGATGGTACTAAAACTCCATAGGAAGAATTCATGATACTTAAATGGTTATATACCGAGTCTTGTTTATGCAGGCAGTTGGAAAGAAGCTCAGTCAAAAGTCCGCATCCTGGGGTGATTAAAGTACTTTGGAATGGAACAGCACGATAATCACTATTACGAACCTGCCCACGTAATTATTTCTAATCGAAAACACATTTCGGAATTTCGGTCAACACCTCATGAGATCAGTCCTCCAAAAAACTTTTCGCAACGAAGGCATTTCCATGGTCCAGGTTGAATGGTGAGGGAAGGCTCTGCCAGTCATGGCAGCGACCGCCATTTAGCGTTTAGACGGGTTTTCTATCGGCATGACGCGGCCACTGAGCAGGCAGTTGGGTGAGGCAGGAGGATGGGCGAATCGATAGGTCTCAAACACGTTAACGCCCAGCCGAATGCTGACGGTGCCCATGAAGCCTGCTTTCGAGATCAACCTGCCTGATCAGCCACGGCTTTTTGGTTGATGATTTTGTAGAAGGTTCTTACAGGGACTGTCCGTCAGTAGGTTCGCAGCGTGTTTGCCTCGCCTCAGCTGTCTTTCCACGCGGGCTTGAAGCTGTTTACCGACGTCTTCGTTGCAATTTGCTGTAATAAATCTGAACTGAACTGAACGTGAGCTAGGGGAAATAACGTGAGGGTTCAGACGGAATAAGAGCCTGCGTTGTCAGGGAAAAAGCCCTTCATGTGACTGAAATCGGTCGCCAGTGACCCTTGTAGTGCGGACACCGCTCCCTACATCGTAGCTACAGATCCGGTAAAAAACGCAGTATCCGGACGGGACACAGTAGCTTCACATTAGATCGAAGGATACAGTGGCAGTCTAAGCAAAGCGATAGAGGTGTCACGTCACACAGATGACATACTACTTAACTGCCACTTCTAGAGTTCGATGGATTGTGTATCTTACGGTTTACAGTTCAGTTAAAAGGTGATGACTTCATTGGAACAACAAATGCAAATTCAACGTTGATACAGAGGGTTTGGTGCAGATTGAAGCTAATCACATGAAAGATGCAGCCTCCCATTGGAAGTTTATTGCAGCATTCTGGGAATGAGTGGAATAAGACGGTTTGGGATGACGCGCCCACTGTTTAGACGCTGTTCTATCGCAAAAATCTCAGACATGGCAACACTGATGACAAAGTGTAGGCTCAACACGCAGTCAGGCAAATCTTAATTTTACAGTTGATAAAACGAACACTGAGTTCGCTGATTAGGTTATTCAGCAGTTCCCCCAGTTAAAAATTACTATGAACTCACAAGATTTCGCTGGCCATTAATTTTGTCTTGCATTTCCAAACCCAATCGTTTATTCACGGTGGCAAGTTGATAAGCAAGTTTTCAACTTTGATTCGCGCCTGGTTTATGCTTCTGGCAATTTTAAACAGTGGCTACTTAACAGGCACATGATTTTGGCGCATAGCTCATGCCTGTCTGCATAGGACTGAGTCTTCCGAACCTGTCAGTCGATTACTTTGCAATACAGTGATGTCGAGCGCCACTGGACCGCTTGCTCTTTCCAAGCCGGCTTTTATGACACCCCCCTAACCTGTCGATCTGGGCTCTATGAGAGGACTGCGAATTCGGACTAGCCCAAATTATTCTTGGTGTGACACATAACTGAGATGATGATATCTGCATGAAATCTTCGGTTGAAGGTGATTCTGACACTCCAAACAGTTTTGCACTTGAGATGCCGTATAAAACAGAGTCGCACGGCTTTGAGAAGAAAGTTTTCGGTTACACCTATTGCCACACAGAAGTCGTCTTTTGTGAAGCAACTAAGGCAGCCCCAGTTGACACGGGTACTGCCTAAGGATTTATTGCTGACGATGTAAAGGATTATAGGATGGCTAAGCAGCGCCTGTACTCAACAAATTTGAGGTTATTTATAGGTTCTTTGTAAAGAAAGAGCGAGGACAGCTGCTGAATCTGTTCACAGTAAGTCCAAAGGAGGCGGTGATTAAGGTCATAGACAAATCAGAGTTTCCATCTCACTTGCCGGATAGGGACCTCATTGAAAGGTATAGGATTCGAGAACCTGGTTATTATATTCACAGGCTGGTTTAGTCTACTGGTGACACAATGCTATTGAGGACTCTGCAGTGATAGTGCATCCAAAGTTGAGCCCTTAGATGAACTGGAAACTGGTTGGGGAAGTTGGACGTCTGATAAGTAGACGTGATCTGTGTCGTAGCCATGTGGCTGGTGTATCATTGCTGGCCGTGGGCCCACGGGCCTGAATATGTCAACCTTCTACTGCATAATATAAGAAAGAACAAATATTTCAACTTTAAAATGTTAGTTAAAAACTTGTGGATGCAACGGAACACCTGTAGGAGGAAACGCAAAATCTTAAGTTGGACACCAAATTTCGTCAGTAGTGAAAGGATCAAAGTAATCAGGACTCACTTCGCAGGATAAATAAAGCCAAGACCTGAGGTGAAGAAAACGGATCGCGAAACGACGTTCTCTGACATTGGGTGTGATTCCCAGTCTTCAATAACGGTTAGGCCAGCAATTAGATCGGAGAGGAAGTGTCCGTCATAGTAATGATTACCTACCATACAGGAGGTCAAAAAGAAGTCAAAATTACAGTTCTACAGGACGGAAAATATAAAATTCTCAACTAGTCTCCGCTGTCGGTTTGCACGTTATTTTCTTCTTGAGATTCCCAATTATGCACAGGCAAAAATTTGCAGTCTTCGTGAAGAAAAGGAGGAGACAGAGAAAAAAAAGAGAGAGAGAGAGAAGGGGGGGAGGAAGAGGTGTTATCACTGCCCAACTTTTTGCAAATCAATATATGCTAGTTCTATGGGCCAATTTTAGTGAAGACTTCGATGAGCATTCCTTACTGGCCGGCGTAAAACTTTCGCAAAAATGTCCTGTGTTGTTCATGCAAATCACCAAGATGCTAAACCCGTATACTAGAGAACATGGAACATTTTTATAAGGGGGAGTCCCCAATATCGTATATTTTTGCCATTGAAGTGTTGGGGAGAACTAGACACTGAAACCCCACTGAAAAAATGGAGCTCAGAAACTCATGTTGTACGGAAGGATATCAATAGTAGTTTTGTAAGTAAGGGAGACGAACGCCGCGATTAACGGAATCTGCCGAAGGCACTGAGAAAACTCACACTTCTGCCACGCGTCTCTTTTATAACTTCAACGAGGTGACGGAACAGGCCGCGCAATTTAAAATACAAGAATTGGGGGTGGGTAAACAAGCGGAAAGCAGATAGTCCAGGGTTACTGGTTAAATGAGGCCGGGTTGGGTAAAACGGTATGCGGTATGCGAACGTTAACCTTACCTCCAACTCTTACCTGTTCCTAAACTCAAATCTAACATTAAACCTAGTCCTGACCTTAACAGTAACTTTGTTCATTTCCCTCAGGCTAGCCAGAAATGTGACCCTACTACAGCATGCCTACCTAGATCAAATAAGCAGACATTTTATAGTGATGAAAGCCGGGGTTTACATACTCGATCGTCGGCGAAGTCCTTTTTCCTGGCCACAGATTATGGGATTAGCAGCAAATAACTGGCTTTTTCATGAATTTAACACAAGGGTCGCATTCGTGGATAGGTTGCACTAAAGCCAGAGTAAAGTCCGGGATTAAACCATTTCGCACCAGCGAAAGGAACTTACCAGGTTTTGAATAAAATAGGGATTTCGCTATTTAGGAACCAGCAGCGCGGATAAACCCAATGAAATTTTGTGAAATTGTGACGGAAAAGATTCGCTTCTGTACTGGTACCTTTGTTTCCTTCTTTTTTGGTTTTATCGGGTCTCGATTAGAACTTAATTGTGAAAAACTCGGTAGTCTAGATAGGGTTGAAACCACGACGACACGTCTAATTTTTGTGTACAGCCAACGCCTTAACCACCTGAGCTATGAGGACCCGACCGGAAGCCGTGAGTTGATTTGTGTTGTAGTCTGTATAACACACCATCTGAATCTTCGCGCCCGCGCGTTTGCCGCGGGCACGAAACACTGAATGCACCCCTCCTGTTAACTCCTTGAAATATGGTAATACATTCCCATATCAAAAAAATATTCAGAAGACTTAAGGCGGAAGTTCGAGTTCCAGGTGTACGTATAAGTGAAGAAGACGGGGGTCGATCACCGAAACATCTTATTTATTGTTCTGAGCTTTCGAACTCGTGCAAGCGTCCATCGCAGCAACCGAACAAGCGACGGTTATAGGGTGTGTAAGCCAATCATCGACCGACGGCGCAAGACTGGAGGTGACTGTGCAGGACTCTGTACGCCGGCGCCAGATCGATAAATCCATCGACTGAGTTCTCATCGGAAGCTCAGGCTTCAATTAATTCTCGGCCTGTTTTTTTTCCGGCGTAGGCGACTATTTTGGTGGTCGCGAAATTAAACTCATGGCCGATTTCGTAGGTGTGGGCGGCCACTTGTGATAATGCGTCGCCTGGTCGCACAGCCAGCTTATGTTCGTGTATGCGCGATCCGAGCATTCGTCCAGTCTGGCCTGTGTAGTTACAAGGACGGTTTTGGCAGGGGATGCCATAAACTTCTCCAGATTGCTCCTCAGGCTCCAACCGATCTTTAATTCTCATGACCCTTCTACGCATGGTGGCTCTGGGGCGGTGTGCAATTTCAACCCCTAATTCCTCAGCAATGCGCTCGGTTGCTTCTGAAACGCCGCCAACGTAGGGCAGAGAATAGCATTTCGTTGGTGGTTTTGATGTTTAGGTTGCCTGGGGGCGACTGCGTAGGCAGCGGCTTATGATTGCCTTCGGATAGCCATTTTGCATAAACTGCTCGCAGAGATATCGGGCCTCACGTGCTCATTCCTCCGGTTTGCTGCAATGAGTTTGAATTCGTTTGAAGAGCGTCTTGACACAGCTTCGTTTGTGGACGACCGGATGGTTGCTGTGAAGACTGAGAAGCTTTGTGTTGTTCGTTGTCTGCCTATAAACCATCGTTTCAAGTTCACCGTTAAAGTTCTGTCTGGCGAGCACGTTCAGGGAGGGCAACTGCTGTTCCTGTTCTTGGTCAGATGTGGTTATGTAGTCCCACCTGAAGTAAACAAACCCTAGCTACCTGTAATACGGGACCGATGGTAATGGGGGTTTTTACAGGTGGGACCGATGAACGCGCATCACCCAAAGCCCAACCCTAAACCCCAAACCTAGCTTTTAACCCTGACCCTAACCCCGAGAGTATTGTGTCCATCAGGTGGGGCTACATAACCTCATCTTACCCTTGTCTTTTTCCCTCGTGAATTTTATATCAAATAAAACTGCGTTGAGCAGGTTGTGGAAATGTTGTAGCATGTCCTTCTTCCCGATATCAAACGTGTCTTTTTGCGTACCGACGCCAAAATACTACCTCATGTTGGATGAAGGCAATCTTTTCTAGCTCCCGTAAGACCAGTTCTGCCACTAAACCGGACATCGGTGAGCCTATTGGAGTTTACCTGACTTGCTCATAGGTCTCGCCAGCAAACGTGGAGAACGTTCGTTGGCAGAATTCGAACAGCCCCATCAGGTGTTTTCTTTTGAGTGCATTCTGAGTCTCCTGCACGAGTTCGATAGCTTAAAACAATATACAAAATGTTTCGATGCTCCATCGTCCCACACATGGTTGATTCGGGGCATCGTGTGGATCCCAACGATGCCCTCCGTGTGATTTGCAAGGTCCCACTTAACTACCCTAATCGACCGGGTCAGCGCCTACCAGGCGACTGCCATCAGGCTTCAGAGGTCGGTCCTGTGCGCTCAGAAGAAACTCCTGCACGCTCCGCGTCGACTGTGGCCGAAGGACGATTAACTGCATGCATGCCTCCGCGTCCCCCCCCCCCCCAGGTGACACGGCTCTACCTAACCCTCACTGTCGCTTACTGCCTCCTCTCTCCCCTCCCCCTTATTCGCACACCCCATTTCTATGAAAAGACGAATCGTAATCGATTCCTCTTACCGCTCACACGTTTCAGTTTGTACCTCATTCCCGTATAAATGTACTGGTCCGATGAGAATTTATCAAAAGTAAGCGCATGCTCGCCAAATGCTCTTCTGAATTGCTTCATGGGAATTTTGGCAACTTTAAACAAAATATTGTAGACCCTTAATCCAACAAAGCGGATTAGCCATATGGAAGGGCTGAAAGTATGGTCCGATTGCTCCTTAAACAAGTTTTATCGAATAAAGCCTTGGAAATCTTAGGAAACGTCATTTAAAGTTGGCCTATGATGCATATGTGCTCAAACAGGTTTTCTGGACGACGGATATGACCGAACATAGAATAGACGAAAGAGGTATGATAAACTGAAAGCCAAAAATAACGCTTCTTGGAAAGTAGACCAACAGAAATGAGGGTTTGTTGTGAATACTCACCAAAATCGGTGCTGAGAATAAACTTCAAGATTGAATTTATCTGAGCTACTCCGGTCGGATCGTCGGCAATGACCTCCTCGAACCAGCCACGACGTCGCCGACTCAGGGGTGGCAGGTCAGAATAGAGATCCTCTTGCGTCTCCTGCGCATCACCTGTCTGACTTCCACTAGTTTTGCCACCCTTCACGATCTCGGCTGACGATGAACTGCCTCCAACCCCCGTGAACTGAGCTTCCGTTAGATTTGAGGAGGTCAAATCGTCCGTGGATGTGACCACATCAACTGATTCTATCTGATCGGGCGATCGTTCAGCTGTCGGCGTCGCAGGAGCCCTAGTGGTTGTGGTTTGACTAAGAATACGAGAGAAACTGGGCGTTCTGCATTTGGCCAAAGTAGACGAGATGACCACATTCACAGACTGTAGTAAAGTCGAAGTGTCCTCTAAAACGGTTAGATCAGAAGACGACACATCATGTTGAAGTAGCCAGATCCGACATTAGCAGAGGAGAATGGCACAGTGCAGAATACTGCACGGAATGAAGCCGACAACAAAACGAAGGAGCTCTTTTCTAGACTAGACCGACGATCTTCGAGCAAGTCCGTTACATTAAGTGAGAATTCGAAGACATCTTAGGCTGGTTGGTTGCTATTGTTACGCGGTGTTTTAAGCTGAAAGTAGCGTGCAAAATAGTAAGATAGACTGTTATGGATTTTGCCCAAACGTCCGAGTGGATCGGAAAAACAGTCGGACGAATAGTCACTTTCGAGACCTAGAAGTTGACATTCAGATAAAACGGTAGAAAGAGAAACTATTGTGTCCTTTAAAACGCTATGTTTTGCGAAGTTTGGTTGCTAGGTGCGGTTCGTTAGGAGATGAAAGGGTGGCTGCAAAGTCGATCCAAAAGACTTGTAACACCAGTCAAATCGAAAACTACTAATCTTTGGGTATATAAATAAGCATTAAAAGTATAAAAGACAATAGCTTTGGGCCAAACGACTGGATTACAAACAACTATGCTGATGAAAGGGAACAGAGGCTGTAATTGATTTTTCCGTTGCACGACAATACCGTATAAAAAGGGTTCGTAACCGAGCAAGACTGCGCATTTATTATGGGGAAGTTCCCAAGATAGAGGGGTGCACACCGATCGCGCTACGGAACTCACTTGTTCCGTTGTGCCTTTGAGCTTCTCTGTCTCGAGCGCCGTCAGCAATCGTCCAGCGGCTTGTAACATTAACAGAATAGCCTTGCCGACAAAGACAAAAGAGACTGGGATGACCATTTCTGGCCTATTAGTCGTCGTCAGCCAGTCATTTCCTAACCCCGATCCGGCGATCTGCTGGTTAGAAGTCTAACGCCCCTAACCACTGAGCCACGGGCTTATGTTACGCGCCGCTGTGCGGTTGGTGACGAGGCTCGTGAGAGAGCCCAAGGCACAACGGGATGAGTGGATTCCATAGCGCGATCGGTGAGCGTCCCTCTACCATTGTATTTACCCGACCGCAACTGACAGGACAATGAGCCCGTGACCCAGTGCTTAGGGGTGTTTGACTTCTAAGCGAGAAGTTGCGGGATCGAGCCACAGGTGTTTCGAACCTCGGAGTTGGGTATGGCTGGCTGACGACGGCTAATGAGTCAGAAATGGCCATTCCAGTCGCCCTTGTCCTTGTCGGTAATGGTGTTTCGTCTGAATTCCCCAGGTGAAAGAAATAGTCCCTCTGAGTTTTTCATCCCAAATACGCCGACGCATACAGTAAACTTCTTATGGACTTAGAATTTTCATTATTGTTGTTATCCAGCACCTGCTCCTTATCAAAAGTTGTTTTTGTAGATAGTCCTAGCCATCCACTGGATACTTGAGAGTGACTACGCATAATAATGTTCAGATTCATTGCCTCGTGCCCAAGACCTTCGCCAAGCGAAGCGTTTATGCGAATCAAAATGACAAGTCAGTTAACGGAAGTACTAAGAAGGGGAGGTTATAGAAGTTCAAAGCTAAACTTTCTTAAAATACATAAATTCGGACTTCTTCGAGAATGCGTAGCTAATAATTGCTATGGTGTGGCAAGGCATCATCAGTGAGAAAACACAGCTTTATCAACAACTCCAAATTCAATTGTTAACAGGATATGTTGAAAGCGCACCCCCTATTTTGATTGGTCTTTCTTTATAAGTCGGATACTTTCATGATTTGCAATTGACACCTCCGCCTCTTGGGATAAATGTATCACTGTCAGATTTTCTCAATGGACTTAACAACAGAGGATGGGGGAGGGCAAAATTACTTACTGTTTTCAACCAGGATGGTCCCAAACACAGGATCGATGCTGAGCTTTTCCTTCTGGGACATGTACTGCACGTCTATATCACGCGGTTCAGCAGTTACGATGCAAATGCTTCAAAAAGAAATCAAAAGAGTAGGTAAGCAAATGTCACATGGAGTGCCTCGACTGACAGCGGAGTTCAAAACATCTACGCCAGAGGGCGGTATAGGTCGTCCTTGCATTCATGCGTATTCCAAAGAGATAGAGGCATTGCTGCCTCTTAGAGGAAGACAGTCCTGCTTTGAAAACTTAAGTGGATGCGGTAAACCAACATGATATACGTGTAATATAGGATATCCGGGTAATTCTAATCAAAGTTCATCAAGGTCGGCTGCTGGCTTTTGGAGCATTAAACTGGGAGGTAGATCTAACTGAAGGCAAATCACGCATTCTCTTTCTTTTCTGACGTCTAGATTCCACAGCAATAGTACGGGGTTTGTCTTTAACTGGCCATAATTAAATAAATAGCCCTAAAACCATGGATTTGGAAAGGACTGCGAAAATTATTGCGACCAATTTCGTGTTGACGATAAAGATGACAAATTTATAAAAATACTTCAAGTCGGTTCCGATTGCGGCAAATAGACCCTGCGCATTATACACTGTAGTTCACTAGGAGTTGACTGTGACCCTTCTGTGCTGCTATAAATAAGATTAGTTAATGGAAACTGTGATGAGGTAAGTACAAAACCTGATCTCAAAGTGGCCCAGGCACCAAGGCACGCTGGCTTTCAGCACACAATTCCGCCGGCTAACTTTGACAATCCGACTTTTCGCGGTTTTGAACGAAGTAGCGCACATGTTTATGCTACGGACAAGGGGGCGAAAATTCATTACCATTTTATAGACTTCTAAAGGTGAGTCAACGCTTCGCCATGGGAATGCTGTCCCCGATTTTCCAATAAACCTTTTCCAGGACTTGAATATTTTTGTCGCATGTACTAATGCTTATTCATTCCCGTTAGCACGATTTGGCAAAAAATCCATTTCCTAAAGCCGCTTCGTAGGCGTTTAAGTCCCTTTTAAACAGTTTCTTTGACGGAGCGGAATACTCTGTTAGGATAAAATTTAAATGTCGACTGGACACATGAATGAGTATCTTTTCACGCTACAGGTAGTCTTCGCTGAATTCCAGGCGTTCTTGCCCATTCCCGTGTTTTAACTCTAACTTTAAACTTCACCCTAATACCGATCCTTCCGACCCTGACCCTAACAATAACCCCAACCATAACTCAAACGCTCTGGTAGTTAACGCATGGCCACCTGCCAGTGCCCCGCCTACATGTCGTCGGAATGTTTCGAATCTAAAGTTTTACGAAATTTTTCACGACATATCTACGCTGCTTCAAATATTGTCAGTATCTTAATAGAATTAATTCCTGCTCATAGCAGAATGCAAATAATCCTCAAATTCGATTTGGATGCATGGTCACTACGCCTGGCAAAAGTCTAAAGGCCTATAAAAGGCAGATAGTCTTTTAAAGACAAAGCGGACTGATGTTAATCGGTGTACGCTGCGTGAAAAGTTTTGGATTACTTCCTCCTCGGCCTTTGGGCATTGTCTATTCCTTGCCGACGTGTAGACTTTTATATGACCGTTTTATTTGTCAAGTGGTCGTGATTTGTGTACTACTGTCTGTTTATTATTTAATCCTTAAGTCAATTTCTCCAGCTGCCATTCAATCTTCTCTTAGCATTTTGGCGGTTTGGCAGCCTGATTACAAGACCAAAACAGCCGGTGCTAACTTAGGCCAATCAGCGAACAGATTTTCGATTGCTTGTTCCCTCCCCCCCACCCATAAGCAGTCGCCGGTGTCAAATTCGCCCCGTCTGTAGCGGCCCTCATTTCATAACCTGTTCCGCCAGATGACACGTACCCAAAAAAATCGGCACCTGGATGGTGTACTCATTTAGTCGCGGGCTGTGCGCCGCCGACTGCTGGCCTTTCCAGAGCACTTGGCCAACAGACCATCTCCTACTCAGTTCAGAGTGCAAGCTGTTCATTTAGGTATATTTCCCTGACTTCCGATTATGACGATCAACAGCTAGAGCAAGTCAAATAAAGTCTCAGTAGCAAGGGCGATCTGGTCCTACCGAACCAGTTAACCGGTAGTCCCATTAATTTGGATTTGGGAATATGTAAAAACAGAAATTTTGTAGACAAAGAACTCTGTACACGCCGGCGTCAATTTTTGTAAAAGATAATTAATTTAAGTAGATATAAGAAAGTCATTTTCCTGTCCCTTTCTTAATAAAACTTACTTTTTATTGAAAACGAGTAGAAATGTGCACTACTCAATCAGAGATTTAGTCCCGGAGGACGGTAGGAACGTTTGAATAGAAGCCTCAACATTTGACGTTGTATGGATTATTCAAGGGTGGTGGTTACTTGTTAATAATCGGTAGATACCACTGAACTAGGAGCTCCTATTTGAAAGCATTGACAGAGTTCGGATAATGTTTTATGTATTTTGGCGTTTATTGCTGAAAACGGTGACAGAAAGTATACCGTACAAGTAATGATGTCCGGTAAACTAAGGAACATTCAGCATGAAACCGCTTGCATATTACCTCAGACCAAAGCAGGTCGTTATGAAGAGTGTGCCTTATAAGCAAAGAAAAAAAAACGTAAACTCGTGAAAACCCGAAAACTAAGTCGAAGGTTTAATTAGCGTTTCCAAACTAAAGAGCTTCTTCCTAGGAAATTGGATATTTTCAACAACATTTAACAAAGGAACTACGAATTCCTGACATAAATCCATAGAAAAGACAAAAAAGAATGCAATCACAACTAGATTCGTCCATTCGCGAGAGCCAGGTGAGAAAATCTGGCGTTGTTTATATAAAACTACGTAAAAGAATATACAAGCGACCATTTCCACCTAGACGCTATATTTCTTATGTCAGTGAACATCTAATAAAATTTCCCCAAAAGCGCTAAGCCGTTAGCGTTGCTTGAAAATGCTGTCCAAAACTGTTATCATAAGTTATTATCAGTACCAGGTGCCACGTTACATTTAAAACCTCAATCTACCAACTAGCCGCTCTAGAACCGTCCGTCAAAAATTAATTCTTAGAGTAATCGAAGAGGTTTCATTCATATAGTTGTAGAACACGGTCGCGCGTTAGTTGACTGTATAAATGCGGCAAGACTTGCATTCAAGCGTGGGAATCATTCAAAAGCACATAGAACTACTTAACATTTACATTTACTTTCAGTTGAAGAAGCTTTGGTTAATACCCGTAGGGAGCACTGGACTGAAAGGGTTTAACATGTTGGCTGTATTTATAAAGCAATAGCATAAGGTTGTCAACATGAAGTCTCATGGGAGTAGATCAGAATCCCGTCGGCAGATTTCATAAGAAATGGTTCAGACTAATTATTCTACCAGCTCGTGATGAAGATGGTCGACTGGGCGAAGTGTGAACCAAACCTATTGCTCACCAAAACCGTAAAACGACGAATAGTTTTCCTTTTCGATGTAAAAATTTTTTTTAAAAATCTAAAACATCTAGAAACCTCGGCTTTTCACTTCCTGGCAGATCTTCGATTTTGACCTTTTGCAAGTTTATTTGTTAGTACCGATAAAGTTACCTTGAGTCACGAAAGCACGTATTCATAGGAAGCTTCGTTACTTTTCCTTCTCGTCGCTTTAGCAGCATAATGATCATTCCGGTGACGTAGGTCAAAAGTCAGGGTCTAGTGACCCGAATTTAAATGAATGCATGTCGGTATTTTCTAACCACTCTTCAGTCCATGCAGACTACCAGTTCAGTAGCGACGCTGCAGAATCATGTAACTATGGATGTACGGCCGGTTTTAAATGTTGCTATACTATACAGGTTACAGGAACTCGTGGCAAAGTATGCGAACCTGTAGTTTGTGTCCGGTATGGGCGCATGAGCATACGTGCGTGCCGTCCTGTGCGCGTGGATCTAGAAGACAAGAGATAAAACTCTGAAAAATTTTGCTTTCGCATTCAGAAATCTACACTGACAGAAAATTTTCCAATCTTTTCATAAAATAGTTCAAATCAGCTGGCTTACCGCTCCGAACCGTCTTAGATACGAAAGTAGTCAGTGATAAAATAAAACTAGTGTACACATTGTCAAGAGCTGGGGCCGTAATTGTCCTCTAACCACACATGATGGAAAATAGTTCATTTAGATGAGGCAATAACGCTCACATTTTTTTCTGCTCCGGTTGATCTGAAAGAACTCAGTAAAACTGTTTTTAACTTAGATACGGTCTGGCTTAAGAAATGTGTATATGTCCTGACCCACCTGTAAGAAACAATCAAAAGTCACCGCTGTTTCCAACTATGCCGTTCCGCTTGTCTTTTAGTATGGAACGCGACATTTTGAATAAAATTTTAGTTTAACTTTGAATAAACGAAATAATTTAGCATCGGGGCTTTTGGTTATTGGTGCTCTTTAGAGTGTACTTGTATCTATGGATAGAAAAACGGGAGGTTATTTACTCAACACATTACGATCAAACGACAGCGGCGACGTTTCGTTGATTTTTTATATACAACAGAAACAGAGCTTAAAAACCTTATCGCGCACGCGTTTAGCATCTACATCCTTTAAAAGCGAAAAATTTCTTAAACGGTAGGAAAACTAATGCAAGAAACTATCAGAGAATGAGCACAGAGGACTTATGCATTTCGCAGCAAACACCTCGTCGAGAAATAGTGCAAAGTCCTCCACTACAGCGACGCCCTCTTTATTGTCAATGATGTCGTTCCGAAGCTAGAAAAGGCGGAATAAACGGGAATTACACTTTCAATAGAAACGCATTCTATTGCGGATAAAATATTGAAGGGAAATTTCAGATAATGACATCTTTTAAAGGAGAGCTGCACAAAATGCTTAAGATATTTTTTTGGTCAGAAGTTAGTTATACTTGAATTTTGGGTCAAATTTAATGTCAAAATGACTTTTTAGTAAGTCGGCTCTGATTCACTTGCGTGTTCAGATGAGTTCAGCATACAAAGATCTATGCTGACTGAATTTACACGTTTCGTTGGTGACAATAGTCACTTATTGCTCCCCCGTCTTTGTCGGCAGAAAACTCATTTTCGTGAATTTTGTTAATTTAATTTACTGCTTCATTCGAAATGGTTCATACATGCGTGGTCCACTCTTTCGGTAAAAACAATAGGCTGCTGTGTTTCATTCTAAAGTTAACACCGTTTTTTTCAAAAAAACCTTGTGGGTATACTTGGTTCATAGAAATGGGAATTTATGAAATCGCAAAAAGAAAAATTTTAACAACTGGCGTACTCACTCCAGAAAGTAACATGTCTTTATTCTGTCTGAGTTGTATTGTTGTAGGCTCATGTATGACGTGTCTTGCCAAAGATTTTCGAACTCTTGCGAGTTGATGCAAGCTTGAAATTCAAGTGCATTTCCAAAAAGAACTTATTCATGGTTTCGTATCCTCTTGCTTATGAGACGCGAGTTTTTCTCTTTCAAGGCATGAATGACAGTTGTTTTATATTCCAATCACTCTAGGATGTATGTTATTACCGACAAAGACAAGGGACACGGGAATGGTCATTTCCGGCTTATTATCCATCGTCAGCCAGTCGTACCCAACCCCGAAGTGTGGAACACCCGGGGCTCGGACTCGCGACCTGTTAGTTAGAAGTCCACGCCTCTAACCACTCGGTCAAGAGCCCGTTATCCTGCCGGTTTCGATCGGGAATATACAATTGTAGGGGGCGCTCACCGATTGCTCTTACGGAACTCACTCGTTCCGTGGTGCCTCATGGACTTTCTCTCGAGCGCAACCAGCAGTCGCACAACGGAACGAGTGAGTTCCGTAAGAACGATCGGTGAGCGCCCCCTACCATTGTACATTAGGATGTATCTTATGTATGCATTATGTCGTGTCTCTAAAAAAAGCCCCGCTGGAAATCCGCAGGACCAACAGGGGGAACAGATTATGGCAGGACACTCATTTAACTGGGCTACGCACTGTCCGCGCAATCTATAACAGATGTCACGGAGGGGGCTTGTGGCACGCCTGGGCACAGGCTCGCGCCGCGGCGGTCACTTTCGCTCAATCCCCGCATCAGAGAATTGGCCGGTTGAGAGAGTGGACTGGTGTCTGGTAGAGGGAGAAATGAGTGAGGTCGGTTCCGTGGAATCCATTCCCGCGGCACTTCAGCGCATTCCCCACTACAATAAACCCGATGCGCTTGAATCTGGCACTGCGTACTAAACGTTGTGGGTTGTAAAATTGCCAACTGACAGTACTACTCAGGCCTCACAGTCGGCCCCGTGTGTGCTTGTGTGGAGTTCGCTCTGACAACGAGCCACGCGGGATTTGCATTGAACTAGCAGAGGGGCCGGATCCTGGTACGACACGCGTTACTGGGCTGCTCACCCATAACAAATGGCATGCATGAGGTTATGGTGGCACGCCTCGGCATACACAAGCTGGACAATTAAATAGCGTCCGTGAGTGGATAACATGCTGACTGGACTTCTGCCTTATTTGTCTGGTTGGGTAAACCTCCAGTCCTGTCGGAAGCTAGGGCGACATCAGCACGCGGACGGCGTGTGAGCGAGTCAGTTAGGACGGCTCCTCCTAACAGCCCCACGCCGTGTGATGCGCGCAGACAGGTTGTCTAGCCATGTTAACCACCTTCACTTAACCCCCGCATCAGATGACTGGCCGGCTTTGATGGGGGGAGGGGTGAGGTGGAGGAAGAGTGAGGTCGACTCCGGGGGGAATCCGCCCCCAAGGCACTTCAGCGCACTCCTCACTAGAAAAAAACCTGACCTGCTTTAAAACTATTACAACACGCCAAAAGCCTGACTTGGGATGCTGCCAACTGACGGGGCACCTCAGCCATCCCAGGGCGGAAATCCAGGCTGTAAAGGACCTTTCTTAACCTGGCCTCCGTGGAACTTCCACTTGGTCGGGCGAAGATCTTGTCTTCTGTTCGCAGACCAGGCATGCGTGCCACGCGCAGGCGGGCCTTTTTAGCTTTGCCAGCCACTGCGCCTGATCTCGCCTGGTGTCTTCTTAACTCCGTTTTGACAGGGCGCCCAGGTGCGTGAGGGAGGACAGAGTGGTAGGTGCAAAGCAAGTCTATCATCGTTTTCAATTCATTCCGGCGCAAGTCAGTGTCCCTGCGTCCATCCTGCTGTGAGGCCCACGGTGGACATCGTCGGCAACGACGGTCGAACAGCCAACGTACGTGGTATATGCATTATTTCCCTGGGATTGAATTTTGAAGCTCAAATCAGAGTTATCTCGGGTCATTCGCAAACAGAGGCTGAGGCCAGACTCTTCAGTTTACTTGACAAAATCTGGCACAAATCACAGCATACCAACAGAATGAGGGATTCAAGTGGCGAATTGGCTGGCAAATACAGTGATCTAAGATCGAACCAACCCACGCATATCTGATGCAATCAGTAGTCGATCAGAGAGAACCCCCAAACATCCCAGCGTCTGATAAAGAGAAGTAGGTACCGAAGTATCATAGGCTTAATGCAGACTACCAAAACTATAACGAAAGCAATTAAAAACACTTTCACTCTAAGGTGCCATTCGACTAGTCAGCATAGAAGAGCCTTCTAGAAGGCTGTACACGAGGACACAAGGGTTACGGTCAAAGAAAGACGCACTTCCGAAGGCAAAGCAGGCAGTTGGATTTGTGCCTTCTTTGTTGTCATCAGCGAGACCTGTCACATATCTAGCCCAGAGGGCATGAATGTGTGGACCTAAATAACTGCGCTAATATAAACTGGAAGCAATCATAAACGTGCATCCCCGTGGCTGGTGTCGCGAATGGCGATTGCATGCGGGAGCATACCTGCCCTGAATACGCCATCAATAGAGACAAGAACTATCCGGTCGCCCATTGTGATTGGCGAGGACCACCTCCGAGGAGGAGGACACTTTGTATTGGAAGTTGAATTGCTTGGAGCCTATGTAATCTTCTCGCCCACTTCTTCTACTTCACATCGGGTAGTTGCAATAAGCGCGAATGGGAGTAAACGTTGCGTCCTGCCAGGGAGCGCGTATAGCATAACGCCTAAATAGTACGCCTGTAATAACTCAACACCGTGCGCATGCCACAACACTGCGCCTCTCGCACATAATCGAACACGTGTATCACTGGGAGGCTGGCTCTTGACCAATTACAGCTATTGAAAATGACCAATCAACTCCAAGCCCGACCAGATATGCCTTTGCTCAAAGCGCCCTGACGTCTGTCTCTGTAGCACTCGGACGCCTGCTTTTGCGGCACCGGACGTGTGCCCTCCGGTTGCCAACTTGCTCCGACCTTTGCTCCATTCATTCTGTGCATAATGCAATGTTCCCTCTAGTGGCGTCCAAAATCTCTTTTTATTTGAGACCGGGTCTGAATGTTCTAGTGGTAAGGGCTCATTTATGAATTTAACTGCTTCGACAGGCCCTTCTCATTGAATCTGCTTTTTCTCTCAAGAAAGAATATGACCAGCTCTGTGACGGGACATCGGCTAGGCTCATTTATTTTATACGTAATTCCTGGTCTATTGCTACAGCAGATGCCAAAAGTTCATGAAGTGACGGATGATCGTTGTTGTCAGTCGAAGCAAATGGGGAGTGACAATTCTGTGCAGGTAGAGCCCAGGTTGTTGGCATTTCACGAGATAATCACTCCAGACAACCAGTTATTTTGAAATGGTCGCAAAGTACAAACTAGCGTGTGTGCTTGCCAAATCAGGCATCAGCGTGAGGTCATCACATTCTCTGTACTCATATCTACCAAAGGATTGGTGGCTGGTCTTTTTATATCCTTATATATAACGACTTTGAATGGACTGACTATGCGTGCGGGGAATCCTCAAAAATGCAGTCGGTTGTTGATTAGAAGTTTTGGGTGGGATTCTTCAGACCGACAGAATTGTCTTGCGCGCTAAACGGAAGACGGAGGAGGCCAGTCTTTGAATCAGCTGGCGCTTACTGAAACCTATGGCCATCAAAGTACAAGGCTAGCATACGGCTTGGGATCGTCTCTGATGCGAAGCCCAGAAGAAATGAAGTTACCTGCAACATTTCAGGATTCATCGCGGCCTCGATGTCTATCAGATCAACGTCCACAAAGTACGAAGACATTCGACGCTGGAATAAAATAAACTGATATACTTCGGTAAAACTGAATAGAGGAATATATAGGACGGGCAGAATGTTCATATGAAGCAATGTAAAATTGAGAATGATTTTTAAGTCAGCTAGCAGAACTTCCTTCTTTCTCACAGAATGTGCAAGAGCAGAGTTGGGAATCGTGCCTTGAATGCTAGCATTTCCTTCTGAGTTGAAAGGTTTATAGTAAGCATTACATTCTCATAAATAGACCACCTTTTAAGTACATCAATTCTCTTATATGCCTGTTGATCACAAGGATAAGTTTATTATTTAACCAACTCAAGAAAACAAGCCCAAAATGTTGAAATTTCCCAAGGAAGATTGTTTTGTCCAAAATTTCTTCTGAAAGTGGGACTAGTCTTCCACAGAACCACAAATAAAAATTAGCAGGTTGGATTTTCCCTGCGAAGAAACTTACGTATGATTTTAACAAGGGGTGAAATATCACATAGCCGTTGTTGTCCAAGATAAAGGCATAATCTGTTGGACTATTCTAAAATCGAAAATTCACAAAGTTTATCTATATCCACAGAAGTGACGCAGTGAAATTCAGAGTAGGGCAGAAAAATTATGTCTCACTATATAGGTTTGTAGAAGGTCGACCATTTCTCTCCCCGAAACATCTGTTCCCATGATGCCCAACAAGTTGAGCGATCCCTTTAAGAGAGAAGGAGAAAATATTTCACACTCAGAAGGAACAATCTGTATCGGACGCCGCAGAACAGACAATATTAGATAGGTTTAAGGGATCCTAAGACACTCGTGGCACTGCTTTGCTGAAAGAGAGGTGGCACTGTAACTCCGGATTTCAAAAACTTCGCCTCCCTGAACGTGGAATCCAAACTTTAGGCGAGATTTCGAAAATGTGGGCGTCTTGCAACAACAGTTTCTGCTTGGCGAAGACGGTCTACTACGACAGATATTTTAACGAACTGAGAACATTTCAAGTCTTCAAACACATTTCTATGGCTAAAATTTAACTTTGATCGCAACACCAGACGGTTTTATGATCCAGCACGCAACCAGTTCAGGCTTTTGGCTGCACAAATCAGTCCATAACCAGGTGCAGGTAGTTATCTTCATAACAATCGTTACATTGAGCTCCATTCTGAACCATCAGAGACAAAAACACAGGAAATTACCATATAAAGTGGAAAGAGCTGTCAGAATGTCCGTTTACAGCTTTCACCTACCGTTCTGTTGTACACAGCCAATGTCAGACTCGCCATTGGTCCAATTTCCTAAAGCGAAATATAAAGCGATGAACCGTTCCCTGTAAGCAGCTAATATATTCTCAATGGCATTGGAAAAATATATTGGAGCTTTGGGGGACGCCCGAGAGCGACTGGATAAATGAGCTGTGCATGCGTTTTAAATAGCAAAGATAAGCAAACATACACTACGTCTATTCAAGCTATCTGGAGATGTTGACGAAAAGGATGCAGGCAGGCAGAACAAGGGAGTATGGGAGTTCGATGCCGCACAACGCTCAGCCTCCTATCCTGAGAAGACGAGAGCTCTCAAGAACAGTGCAACGGAGTGAACTTATGATTAGCATAACCAGTCAAGAAAAGGATCATAGGTTTGTGCAGTCAGTCAGAAGTGGAATGCAATGCGTGCAGCAGATGCATTGTATGGCTCATAAGTACTTCGGCGATGGTCGTGGGGAAAATGTCAGCTGCCTGATGAACAACTAATTCCATTTTCTGCGCCTTGCTATTTCGGATTGGCCTTCGTAGTTCCGCATTTTCAGTGAAATGCTAGGTAGGGCAAGAAATGCGCATGGTGAGCACTTAAAGTGCACTTTGGATGTCAACAGCATATTAAGAATATTTTAGCAGTCTTAACTCACCCACAGGATATTTGACATTGCACCGATTACGGGTATGTGGGCGAATGTACCTAGGCACGTACAAGTAGGCAAAAGGAATGAAGATATCTAATGGTCAGTCCAACCAGTCGATTAGACGAGTTGATTATATAAAAATAAACCCAAGAGTTGAAGGTCGTCACAAGGGGGCTGTAAAAAATCGATATTTCCAAGAGAGCAGTAAGTTAATATACTTCTTCCAGAAAGCCATTTCCATGTTTTACCTTAATTGGAAGACCTAAAGTAAAGGGTTTTATTATAACGGCGGCCAGTACTGGAAGTAAGTTTTCGTCTACACCCTGAGCAGTTACATGAACCATCAAGTTACTGTTAGTAGGCCCTCACACTGCAAGTGTGTTTATTTAATTTCTCATATTTGGTGTGTCTGTTAAAACTGCCAAAAAGCCTGCTCACATCCAGGTGACCAGCGCAAATTTTTACATTAAAATTTCGTAATTGAGCATGAAGTTAGGTGCCTTTCTTATACTAATCTGTCTCTAATGAGTTGTACAAATGAGAATCCGACATTGCGGTCAGGCCAGTTGTAAGGATGCAATACGATAGTAAATAGTTGCCAGTGAAAAAAAAAACAACCAAAAAAATGTGCAAAGCAAAGTCGTGCACTTAAGTATGATTGGGTTTTCAGGACGTTTTATCAAAGAAAAGATTGCCATTGAAGTAGAAAAAATTTCCTGACTCAGCCTCAAGCCACCGGATAATAAGGCTCGAGTTTGGTTCGTAAAATATACAGCTGTTTAGGAATTTCGCAAAGAAACTAGAGTAAATATCCTTTTACAGGTAACACTCTCACCATTGATTTCCCTTGCAAGCTTATCTAGCGGTCCAGGGGCGGTCAGAGTCGACAGAGAGTAGGTAAACAACCGAACCTTGTATGAGAGCACAACACTGGGTTAGGAGTTAATACAGCGTTTCGAGTGCAGACGAAAAACAACAAAGTGTTCTCGACTTTCATACATAATGGCGGTATTTTCGGAGGGCCTGAACAGTTGTTTCATTGTAATATATGTCTCCATCGCTGATTAGGACGAGAATTCGGTTGCAGTGGGCTGCAGGTGATCTTCCGCTCGAAAACTAAAGGCAAAACGTAAGTCGTAGTAGTAACTTTGCGGCAGGAAGCCTTGTCAGGGTCATACTGAAGCATCATAATGGAAAAACGATCGGTGAGAAACGTTACTTTGCTGGGGGAAGATTCAAAGATAAAGGAAAGCATAAATTACAGCAACTGCTGACTTTGAAAAGAGGGATTACAGGAAGAGAATAGGATAACACCTTCTACGCTAGCACGGCACTTACGCTGCTCATTAGTTTCAGGCCAAAGAATATAGCCTCGTCGTAGTTGGCGCCATTTTCAGCCACGAGGCGAAAAACATTTTGGATCGCGTGCTGAAAGCGGAAGATTATAGAAGATTAATCGAGGCAAAACATGAAAAAACTTAATAATTTTTGGCAGTCCACGGTCATAATGACTACAGATTTTTTCAAAACCTGCTTATTTTGACTTGTAGCCTGCACGAGGAGGTTGTAGCAAGACTCGTTTTGAGAGCAGCCATAGAGTAGAGTGGGTGCAGGATGGTTTCTGTCTGCGGGAAACTAAAAAAAGGAGAGAAAGCAAACCGTTGACAAAAATTGACACAAAAGAAGAATTGCACATAAAAACGCCAGAAACGTTTGATGGGAAGACTGTTTCGTCAAAGGAGATCGGAAAACCCATCGACAAGAACATCTATCCCAATACCTGCTCCACTAAGAATTAAAAGCAAATTAATTTGATAGCGTCACGAAACTAGGAGCCTAATTTGCGTCAAAAATGTCTGTTAGTAGTACCAAAGGCTGATAAGGGGAAAGCTACCTTGGCCACAGCAAAGAAGTCATTTCTGTTCAGATTTTGGATCAGCAATCTGAGAGAGGTATTCACCAAGTGCAGGGCTTGACCGTGCATACTTCCACTCCTGAAAAATTGAAAAGGGATGAAGGTCTTATGCCAAGAATATATTGAATTTTTCCTGGTAATCAGCACTTCAACATTAAGTATGTAGCGAAAGAAGGTTAAAGAGTAAACATGACTCTCTGGACTTATGTATAGGACAGAAAGCTTCCAAAACACATTTTCATATGGAATGGATAGATTCGAGCCATTACTTGTTATTAGTCATATGAAGAATGATCACCAATCCCAGTGGAAGAAACTGTCATTGTGGCTCGTCACCTGGACCGTGGAAATGACCGCAAAAACGGACTGCCGTGCAGCACCGTTATGTTTAAAATGTTCATTGGGGAATCTTATAACAGACAGCCGGGATACAGAAAGGCTCGGAGGCCTTCAAAAAGTGCTATCTAACTCGTAAAGAAGATTTAAATTCAAACATATTTACTATTTAAGTAGTTTGTGAAAAGCAGGCAACTTGGAGGGTACCTGAAGCATGGAGGTGGACTCGGCATGAATTACTTGCAACGAAACCTACAATATCGTATTGACCGCATAAAGTGTCCCGGAAGTGATGTTTCTTTCTAATGGCTGTTGCTGGTGAAAATGACCAAAAAGTGACAAGAAAATATTGGAGGAGGAACGGAAGTGTTATTTCGCTGGCCAGGTCGTGTGAGACCTAGCGTCACGAAGAAAGTGACAATTTGATTTTTTGAACAGTCGTGAGGTTCCCTCGTTCCAATACCACAGACAAAAAGAAGAGAAGTCGTGATTAGAGGCAGCTATGGAGATTTCAATTTTAAGCCCCTGCTCTTGTAGGAGTAGGCGACAGGACTTACGTGTCTACTAAGAAGAGGACGTCCTTTGGCACTGAAGTGTACTGAGTATACCTAGAAAGGAGGACATAGAATAAGCGATAAATATAAAGAAAAAGGAAACTTTTTCTCATCATTCACAAGAAATACAAATACCGGAAGAAAAAGGCAAAGGTAAGCTAACATCGAGAAGGAGCTTAAAAAGATCCAGGACTTACTACGCGAAAAAGGGTATCCTGACAGGTTTATTGAAAAGAATATTTTTGAGCGACCGGAAAAGCCCACTACAACGACTCCCACGAAGAATATTTTGCTCATTTTGACCCAACTGAGCAAAACTCGGCGCCAGATTTTACACTCAGGTCAAGATGAATTACTTTAAATCTGCCAAAACGACTATTAAAAGCTTTGTTCCTCAAAGTCCCTTTTCAAGGAGACGCTGCGAGTGAACTCCTAAGAAGATGACTTGGCCAAGCTGTCCCACGAACGTTCCCAGCAGCAAGGGTTCGTATACTATTCTTTACTAACCCCACTTTAAGCGGAGAAGGTAAGGGTAGGTTGCCATCTCAGACCACCTCAATATTCATCTTCTCTTCACTCCTTCCCATGGAATAAGTTACATTGGTCGCACGAGTAGGCGCCTATCCAAGAGAATGCGAGAACACCTCCCGGCAAGGCCGGGAAAAGGCGAAATTAGAAGTAGCGCCATTCTTGCGCATGTTGTTGATTCCGGGCATCGTCAGGACCCCAGTCAGGCTTTTCACGTGATTTAGGTCCAATCGAGGTGGCCTAAGCCACTAGTCCAGCGTCTGTTAGCAACGACAGAAGCGGCCGTCATCAGGTCACGAAAGCCGATCCTGTGCGTGCAGAAGAATCTTGTTCAAAAGACTGACATGCAACTCTCTGCGTCCTTCCGCTCCCGCCCCGCCCCTGGAATTGACTGTTGTTGTCCGCCCCCCTCACCCCCCCCCTCCACTCTCCCACACGACGCTTGTGTTCTAAGTCGAACTTTAGTCGATCAGTCTAATCACTGACACGTTTTACTTCTACCCCATTCCAATTTAAATGCACTGGCCTGACAAGAATTTACCGAAACCAAACGTATGCTCGCCAATTGGTCTTCTATACACGTATTTTCCTAAAAACATAATTCGAATGACAAAAAAGGCCAGATAGAACGGTAATAGGCTATTAAGCTTGCTTGTGATTGAAAAATATAACATTCACGCCAATTAGAAGGAAGTAAATTTGCCTTTCCGTCTACGCAAATGCGAACGCGCACTTGTATCTGATTTCCATCGCGTTTGCGAGTGCTGCAATATCGCATACCTTTAAGCTAGAATGCCTTTACGAGGCGAAATCTGCATTATTACAGTCTGGCACATTATTACAGTCAGTGGACACTCATGAAGACGTGAGTAACTGAATTGAGCTCTTCTGCAAGCTCTTAATTTACACTCTGCCAAGTAAGAGACATTGTACGTAGCATGGTTTGCAAATGTGACCGAAAGGTTTTATTCTAATAGTCAAGTCTAGTTGATGCAAAACACCTGGCTGCAGGTGGTCAGGTCTGCGCAAAAGGTATTTACCAGCTTCTGCGACGAGCATCCAAAGCGCGTATTTTATCATCCAAAGGCCATTGAAAACCTATGGAGGACGAAAATTGAGAGATATTTTGGTAGGAAAAGTCATTAGGATAAGAAACAAAGGCTCTTAATAAGAAATCAATGGAGGGCCTACGTGGGTATATTCGTAGAAAGCCGTAGACACTGGCGAAGTAGATGAAATTGAGGGTGTCGTTTTGCCTCTTGAAGATATAGTCAGTATTAGATGTCCAGTCAACTTGATGGGCGATTAAAGAGTCTTCACGTAAAAAAGAACGAAACGGTAACCTGTTTTAGATTGAAATTAGCGGAGTGTGAAATCCACTGGAAAATAAAAGTCAGCAAAGGTCCCTTATCAGATAATAAGCTTATCGCTCTTGACACCAACTACAGCTTATATAGTTAACCAAAATACCAAACCGGACGTCAGAAACTCTTTCTTGGGTAAACAATTCGAGCAGAATTGGGATTTGAGCGCTAACGAAAATTAACTTATTAGATGGTTCGACCGTCGCATCCGACGATGTCCACCGTGTGCTCCACAGCAAGATGAACCAGGCGCGGTGATTTGCGCAGCGTCTGCCGCACTCTCTCCAACTCACCACCTGGATCCGATGTCAAGAAGACCAGAGGCGGGAAGGGCGCAGGTGGATGGCATGACCGAACCCGCACCTTGGCGCTCCCCTCCACGCCCCCTGGTCCACACACAAAACTGACCAGGATTTTAACCAACAGTAAGGACGTGGATGACTGGGCGGCAATACACACGACCTGCGTACCCAGCGGGAGCAGAAGCGCATCTACCGCCAGAGAACCAGGTGCCGGAGAACTGCCAGCGCACACAAACCTTGGGGTCCAGGGGGGTGACACACAACCCTGCATTTGCTTGGGCCATCGCCCTTCAAAGGCTGGATAGCCAGTAGGTCAGCGACTGAAAGGCACTACCCCAAAAGCACACACGCACACACACACTCCTCACATGCGCGAGGATCACAGATCGCTTTAAGGAGCCGTGACAGCCTGACTCGCAGCCCACCAGTCCTCCACTCCACACAAACACACACAGCTGGGCAGACTGTGTGGACTGAGTTGGCAGCCTTACAAGCCACGGCGCTGGCGCACCGTGATAGTCTCAGGCTCGAATTGTCAAAAGCAGCAGAGGAGCCGCATGGAGACGGAGCCGATAAGTACACTTCCCACTTGCGTGGGATATGGCAATTGAGTGTTTGCAGTGGTAATGTTGTTGTGTGATGCGCGTGCTGGTGGGGGATGTTTGATGTAGCCGACGGTCGTCTACCGCAGGTTCTCATGAATGCGCATGGGACCTAATAGGCCCACGCGGTGGGTGAATATACGAGGGCAGTGAGGGCAGTTGAGGCGGATGCGGCAAGTGCAAATTTGTACTCTAGGCACTGGTTCGCCAGTCTTCGTGCAGTGGATTCGCAAGTGACCGACCGGGCCGATGTGTGAGAAGAATGTTCGATCGCAAAGGGGACAGCGATTAACCGAGTCCACTCGTTAGATGTGAAAGCGTTGGTGGTGATGGTAGAAGGTGACGGGACATCATACCTCATCTCATCGGTAGGGAAAGTGCGTGAAGACGTGGTGATGGTGATGCTGGCCTCTGCGGTTGGGGCTGCGTAGATGGTGGCGGCGGGACAGCGACAGTGATTGGTGGTGACGGGGATGACGGTCGGCGCGGGGGTTGCGGCAGGGACGAGAATAGGAGGAGAGGCATACGTTGTCGGGTTGTTGGTACATTGGGTCCAAAGGTGTCCCACGAGATGGATTCGCGCACGGAATGCGCGTTGGCAGCGCGGGAGTGTCGGGAGCGGTTGACGGTTGGCACTGAGGAGGCGAGCTACTTGGAGATTCGGTGGGCGACCTCTTGGAAAGTGTGCCTCCAAGATAAGCAAAATTGTTCACAGTTTTGAGTTGGTGGCCGTCGACAGTGATTCGAGGAGGAGTGTAGTGCTGCGTGTTGGGTGACGATTGGTACATGACCACTGTTTTGTCCGTGTTGATAGTCAGGCCGAAGTTGGCGCATGCGGCGGCGAGGAGGCCCATGCTCCGTTGCATGTCCCCCCTTGCTCATGTGCTGAGCGCGCAGTCTTCGGTGATAGACGGCGAACGCTACTACCAGCAGTCTGTACAAATGACACGGCAACAGTCTAGTGAAAAAGACGGACTACCAACAGGAGCAACAGGAGCTGGAATGACTATTTCTGATGGTCGTCTGCCAAGTCAAATTCGAAGTCTGGACAGGAAAGACATGACGTCTGAATTCGGTTTCAGTTGCTGATTGGGCCTAGAGTTCCGCAAACTGAACTACGGGCTCATGCTGTTTCAGCAGCAGTCTGACATTCATTTTCAAGTGGGAAAATCTTTCGCCAATCTTCTGCAATTGTAAGACAATGTATCCGCCATCTGTCTTACGTTTTGACCCAGTTTAGAGCTTGCAGCTTTTTAATTTCCTGAGAAATTAATCGCTAATATGGATTAAATCAGTCCATTTTAGACTTATAGGATCAGATTGAGTTTCGATATGAATGTTCGGGCCGAAGTCCATCAGCCGCTGCGGAATAACCGCGTAATATTCGTTAAACTGTCAACAGGCAGCCAGTAGTACATACTGAGATGGCAAGATATATCATACTTGACAACACAGGTTCTATGTAAAAGCCAAAACACGTGTTTTGCCGATATCCTGTCGGTGCGTGGTTCAGCTGCGAGTGGTTCGGGTCATCAGTTTTTGAGTTCCTACTAGTGTCATAGTGTAACCAGTAGGGATAATTCGGCAGAATTGCCGACAGAGGCAGAGGGTTCTAGACTGGAGCAACAAGTTAAAGTGAAGCGCTGTTATTCTGTCCCTTAACAAGACTAGAAAGTTGAGTCCGATAATCCAAAGGCCCAGGGAATGAAGCATTGCGAAAGCTATTTTCGAGCTTCGGGAAACTGACATCTGTAAGATCTAAAAGCCTTCCTTCACGTTTACATTTATGACGATTTCGAAGTATGGAGACAATCTTGGTTATCCAAACATCAAACGACTTCATATGACACTGAAGGCTGTGTAACGATGGGTATTTCAAGTGCGCGGCCCTGCAAAATTCTTTGCATGATTCATACTATTCACATATATGTGGTTTACGTTTAGGACACGAAATACCTTCGGCTAACCAGTTGAGTCAATCTTAGAAGCTTATTAGAGATGGGCAAATGTCTGGTCTCGAAATAAGTTGGCGTCTGCCTTAAACTGGGCTTGAAACTTAGCTCTGGGAGAACCTAGAAACGCTTACCATTGATGTAAACTTCGGCGGGCAGGTAGACACCCGACTGACTTTGGTTCACGGGTATATCGAAGTAGTGATGCCTCTCCAAGTTCGGGTCGAAGTCCGTGAGTGAGGTGAAGGAGATATTTTTGAGCTGAAAATTGCAGTACAGGACTTTCGTGGTGAACAAAAATGTCTTTGACACTGAATGAAATAAGAACTGAAATCCCCTTCCGTCTGGGTGAACTGGCACTGCAGGTCGATGTGCATAAGTTTGAAAAAAACAAACGACTGATACTACTTTGACTTCAAGCTTCAGTTTAAAACCCTCGCAGGCGATCGTTAAATGTGGGGAAGTCGGTAATCGGGAAATGCCACCTAGGCGGCGAGGGAGATTAGAACGTACATTCTTGACTTTTGCGTCGTTATCCGCCAAACGTGCTCCGGCCACAGGCGTGGATGCTATGCCATCTTACCCAGGCCAATTGCTCATCGAGCAGTAGAGTCAAAGGTCGTACTTTTCGATTCACGATGTCAGCGAATCGTTTGCGTTCAGTCCCATAATCAGAAGCGATCGCTGAATTCTTCTCCTCTTGGACGCCTGCTACATCTGGTCGAGATCTACAGAATGTTAGTCCGGTAATCATGTGGTGGACCGTTTGACTTAAGAGCTCACGGACTTAGTAAGTCTGAGTTACAATCTCATGTCGTTGAGCGAGACATGGCGAGCTGAAGACGGTAAATAAGTCAACAGTGACCGTTAAAGTCTCGACACTGGAGATGAATGTTCCTAGCACATATAGTAAATAAAAGGGAACAAATGTTCGTGTTCAATGGTTTCTGAACTCACGCACATCCGCTCAATGGTTTTCAAGGTCTGCATAAACACAGGTTGTGCTTATTGCCGTGATATATATGGTTTCGCTGCGAATTCCACTTGAGAGTGAAGATCAAAGACTGCTGCGTCTCTTCAGTTTTCATAATGAATTCCCTGCCAGGCCATAAAGGCCGTTCACCAAATGTTGACTCCGGAGGTCAGGTAGAATGGACAAGTGCGGATTTGTGTAGAAGAATACATGCGTCACGAAAACCTCAGTCCGTACCAAGCCCCAAAAAGTGCTCGTACCAAAAGAATGAAAATGAGATATAGACGTATGGGTTAAACTACCCCGCACAAGCGTTGGACTCGCACTGCAATGCGTGCAAAGACACTGCACGTTAGTAAATTAGTCAATATACTTATGAGTCAACATGTCTTTCGAGTTAGAAGGGAAAATGACACACAGAAGTCTACACAATATGGTTAGACTATACGAGAAAAAGCATACTCACTAGGGGGTTCCAAGGATACTTGGCGGCCTCCTCTTCGACATCCTGGACAACCTCCTAGAAGGTGAGTGAAGTATTTTAATGATACTGGAGACTTCCGTTTAGGCACTGAAGGCTGTAAATAGCTTTCGACGTTCAAGATGACTTTGGCATTTAAAGACAGCATTACGAACACCCAGCTGACATAAAGGGTTTTTCAAAAGATATTCCGCCACGGTCGAATAACAGTAAAAACGAGTTCAACCCAATACCTGGAGGCAAAAATTATAAATTTCGTTTTCAAACGACGTAGATTTTTTTTTCTTGATATGCTTGTTGTCGTGACAAGTCGAAACAGTTACCATTGGAACATGTAAAAGACTTACGTGTTTATACAGATCTGGATAACGTCATGAAAGGTAAGTAGAATTGTGCGGCCTTGATCGGAGTGAATAACGGAGCGAACAAAATAACTAACTCGGGAACACGTTTTACTATTATTGACGGGGTCGTTAGACTTGCTTCTTAAGAATACCTTGATAACTAAACCAGAAAGTCGCTTAATTTGCTTCGTCCATCCCTCATGTATACTTTATTCGATGGGTCCTGAAAGGCGTCAGCGTTAATCCTGAAATAACCACTAAAACTAAAAGACGTTAGTGGGACTCTACGCAAGGAGCCATAAACAGTATTCAGCAATTGCCACCAACAACTACCGTATCTTTATCCGAATTCGGTTGGAATTGGGTTGCGATCTTATCAAGGAACATATAAAGACCAGATGCCAATCACTAACAGTTTCCACTGGGCTTTAGGTATCAGAGTTCGACCTACTTAATGTAGGATTCGATGCACCACTAAACTCACATCCTTCAGACTAGTCTGCCACTGAGAGCTTGGTCCGTATCTTGACTTATAAGGTAGATACAGAGTGGAGCTCTTCCCATAACACGACGGCAAAATGTAATTTTTTACGCATTACTCACGGCGGTTGACTGATCTTGAAATACAACCAGTGCCTACCATGGTTGCATCTTGTGACATGGGTAAGGTTGTGATGTATGTTGAGAGGGTTGGCAATGGTAGTGAGAGTTTTTCGTTGGTAAAGGATGGCACCGCAGCCAATGGGCCATTGGTGACGAAGATAATTGTGCTAGAAAAACATTTTCCGAGGACACGTGCAGAAAGTTCGATAATGTTTCAAGCTGCAAGTGATGAACCGGTTTCGCTAGGGTCTTCTTAAAACAATAAATCCAATACAGATGGTCACTGTTTTGAGCGAAAGGAAAAAGTGGCGAAAAGGGGTACAATAATAAGTGCTTTCAGGAGAGAAAGGAACCACCCAGTCTAGGACCCAAGTCATATTTCTGAATAAGTTTGGCCGTCGAAATATAAGGCAACGTTTTCGGATGCAGATCTTAAGAGATCGATAATTAACTTTCTCAACCGGACAAAGCAACCTGTCACGCGAAAGTGGTACAGTTTTACATTCGCCCGTGTGCGTTGGGAAGCAGGGCATCAGTGCTGAAAATGTGCAGGCCGAAGCGCGCAGGCACATCCACCGCAAGGTCACTGTCCCGAACTGGCCAATCAGAGAGTCAGCATGCGGCAATTGGGAAAATAAGCCGCTTGGCTTCCATCGATTGGTGCCGTGTGCATGTTGCACGTCAGACACGGCAGAAGAAAAAAACGTCGTTTATATACCATTTGCGACACTGAAAAGACTTCGTTTGTACTACATGGACAGAAGTGGGGACTGTGAAGTATTGAAAACCTATGAAACTTCAGCATAACGATATACCCTACAAAAACAACATGAAAAATCTAAGCATGCATGCTAACCCAATTCTGGTGAACGATGTTTTTCGACCAGCAGCTGGGTCACTGCGCTTTTGTGGTGGTTTTAAGTCAGCTTACAAGATAGTAAATCCAACCGTCATTCGATGCGTTTAAAAGTCAAAGCCAGGTCTCACAGAAAACAACCGTTTTTTTAAGTGAGGGGAAAAATATATCTACCTACCATGTTTCGAAGAAGGTATCAGCAAAAATGTCACAGCGGGAGACGAAGCAGAAGGAATTACGCTTAACCAGGGAGATATGACATTATAACGAATTATTCTTCACGATGGCCGAAAAACTGCAACTTTTAACCTAAGGAATACATTAAGGAAAATTTACAGCAACCAATATCAAGCTTTCCTGAAAGCGGTAGAGGGGCGCTCACCGATCGTCCTTACGGAATTCACTCGGCCTGTTGTGCCTTACGGGCTCTCTCTCGAGTTCAACCAGCAGCCGAACAGCGACGTATGATAAAGGCAGAGTAATATCACCGTCAAAGACAAGGGAGACTGAAATTGTCATTTCTGGCTTATTAGCCGTCGTCGGTCAGTCATACCCAACCCGCTAAGTGTGGAACACCTGGATCTCGGTCCCGCGACCTGTTAGTTAGAAGTCCAACGCTTCTAACCACTGAGCCACGGGCTCGTTGTTCCGTAGGTTTCGATCGGAAATGTACAATGGTAGAGGGTCGCTCGTCGATCGTTTTTACGGAACTCACTCGTCCAGCTGTACCTTACGGGCTCTCTCTAGAGCCCGACCAACAGCCTCACAACGACGCATGATATAGGCAAAATGTTCTTCTGAGAGTGTAATTTAGTTTGAGAACTGGGAGGATGAGTTTGTCGGTCAGTTCACCAGTAAACTCCCTGCTAAACTAGCAACGGTACAGAGCAGGACAACTAGGGCTATCTACGAAATGAGCTGACTGACGAACCTGACGGATGGCCCTTCGAAAAGCATGCAATATTGACGAAGTCAGGTCTCTCGAGTCACTAGTGTAACAAGTCGGTGTCCTACAAAATATCCCTGACCAAAGCCGTACTGTGATATTACAAATATTGTCCGTCGCTAAACACGACGCCGTCAGCCATCACAGCCTTAGGGGTTAGGGGTTCTGCCAGCCTAGATCCTACCTCCTCACATATCAATGAGAATTAATTATATAAAAACTGCAACTCACATTACAGTGTTCGTGAGATCCGAATTGTCCTAACTTCTGCCAGTCATAGGGATATCTGGCAGGGTAATCGAAATTCTTAAACAAATGGAAGTAGTTCGTAAGTCAAACGGGTTGACCACATTGTTCTGGACAGGTACAGGGAAACGGGTTCCCCGAGCATCGAGCAGTGCGAGAAGCCCAGACAGGCGGCTATCGTATTTCAGTCCATGTGCTCATGAGAGAGTGATTATGCCTCAAAGCACGCTAGCTAAATACCTGAGTGTTAAGAACATTATCTCTTCGGGAAACAGGCCCAGCGGTCCCTTGCTGATGAGAAACATAATCTTGACGAAACTGAACGTGCTTGATTTTCGACTTATAAATATTAAATGAAGTGAAACCAAACACTGAATATTAGGTAGGACAATGCAAGTATTTTAGAAGGTGTGGAATCCTGGAATCATCTGAAATCCAAAATTAGTGGCATTTCCCCCAAAAGTAAGAAGTTAATAAGGATCAATCGGAATCAGTCTTTCTAAAAGTTGGCCTTCAACTGCTAATTAGACGCCATCTTCGGCAAAAAACACTGTCAGCTTTCCTGATGTCAACTAAACAGTTTGACAGTTTACCAGACAATCAGAGCAAAAATGTCTTCTGTCTACTTCACTAAATAAGTGATTGTAGTACTGGCAAAACGTCCGCACGTCTGAATGCGTTCGATGAATCCTCTGCTGCAGTCACTTCGTATCGCCCTATGTTACCGCAATGTCAGTATTTACAAAACGTTGCTGAAACAAAGTGCTACGCAAGAAGACGAAGACTCAATATGCATCTGTCTTGATTTATTTTCTGGAAAGCCTGGGAAAATGATTAGTGGTAGGTATTACCCGGTGTCCCAGAGTAACGTAAGAGGATCTTTCAGTAAAATTTATGCCAACGAAAGAGACTTGTTAGAATGCTACTAACAGAGACATCAACTTAATTTTTGTCGGCGCAGGACTATTTCCAATCTCAGCACCATATATAAATTAAAACAGTTTTCGTGTAAGGGAGGCTATGACTAAACTTGAAAGATAAAATCCAGTTTTTTTATGAAAGAGGCTATCTGTTATCTTGGTTTTGTTGCAACGTTCGTCCCGATCGAGAGGTATGCCATCTAGGAGCACCGAAAAGCCTATGGTATTCTAAAAACCTTTGAATTGTATTAGGAACTATTGACTAGTCACCAAATCAAGGGATGATACACGAGACGACAAGGCGGATGGATCTATTGATTAGTCACCAAATCAAGGGGTGATACACGAGGCGACAAGCGGATGTTAACCGTCGACTGCTATGTCCTACAAATCTCTCGTCTTTGAACCATTATCTTTACCCATGAGACAGATGCAGTCAAGTCTACAGTACTAAATGACCACGCAGACGCTCAGGAAGGATGAAACCTCCTTCCACCTGACCTAAGCTAAGCCGGAGACTTCACCCTTATTTTGAAATCTTTTCGGGTAAGACAATACATACCTGGCTGAAAGATGCAATTGGCTATTGAAATTGGAAACTCTGCAAACCGAAGTATGTCTGAACTATCTTTCAGGAAATGACATGATTTCCTTCATCTTGGATAGTAGCAGGTCCTGATGGTCAGCGACACTCCGTTCCTCGACTTATTTGCCTCCAAGATAGCGGTGTCAATAATATGCAAAATCCGGTGTGCCCGATCGTTCCTAGAGGAGGACACCATCTTGCATGGAAATTTAACGAAGGGCAGAAGTGCCGAAGTCCAACCGATTCTTCTGAATGGCTGCATAACTCGGTCTTGGACAACTGCTAGATTATGAGAACACCAGTTCTCTTAAAAGATTTGTATCTACTACTGACGTTTGAGGAATTTTCCCGAACTCGGACACCACTGTTGGTGACATAGTGGAAGTTCATAGTCTCCCCATCCAGAAGGTTCGCTTGTGACTTCGTTGAACACGTAATATTTCGAAGCCTATGTTATAACCAATGCAACTGGCATATGACCCGAGTAACGAGAACAAATAAAGTAAAACGCAGTGTTCTCAACAGTTTGCATTTTTAAAAATAATATCCGAATGAACGTTGCCAAAAAACGATTGACTGCCTCAGGATCGCCATTTCCTAAGCCGTTTCCCGTCTTGTTGTTTTGACCCCATCCCATGCTACCAAAACCACTCTTCACAAGACTTTTAGTATGCCAGGTGATGGGAATAGCGGATGGTTTAAAAATGAAGCAGCATGCTTTCGTTATTACGAGGTGGATGGAGTTTTGCATACGTTAACTTACCTCAAGAGCCGCGGCTTTCTTCGAGAATAATTCGGAAAGTTTAGAGGCGTACTCCTTAACATTATGTAAAGGTTTCAGGAGTTCTAACGTTATCGTCCCCTCATTGATAAGTCTTTGGTAGGCCTAAACAGATAAGGTCAAACAAAAGTGATACTCAGGTGGACTGCCATAATATATAGCAGGTATTATAGGAAAGAAAGTGATTGCTAAAACGTCTGCAATAATTGAAGAAATTTATTTTTGATATATGAAATGATTTACCTCCGACAGATGTTTATATTAAGCATCTTGCAGTTACGGAAATAAACCATCCTTTTTTCTGAAAAATACATTTATAAAATTTTTGACAGCTCCCGACAACTGAATGAGTAGATTTGGGCAAGCGGTTGAGGACTAGCAGGTCAATGTGTGATTTTAAGAAAGGAAAAGTAACGAAACTGTTTTATAGTTTATACTCGAAGACTAGATTGCCGTATATGTCAAAAATATTGAGCGCGAAGACCGCATAAAGCTTCAAATCTAAATCGACTTTGTTTCCTTTTAATCGTACGCACATTGTGGAACCAGAATAATTGAAATACTGAGGCGACAGATTCTGCAAATATGACAATAAGTAATAAACTGTCCATAAATAACCTTGCAATTAAAACATACAATCTAATAAAAGGCTTCCAATTGACTGTTAGTCTTAGAATGGTCAATGAAACGATTTAAGACCATTATCGTTCGCTACTAAATAATTTATGTGCTAGTGGCACAAATAAGAAATATAAGTATTAAAAGTCGAAGTTGCTCTGCCGCAGCACAAATATCCAAGAAAGCACTCTAGTTTTTGAAAGTGTAAAAGTGAAATTATATCTATCCCAACGATTTGCCAGTTTATAAACTGCCAAAAAGAGTCGCATCAGCATGAGAAGACAACTTCACGTGCGCGAATAAGTAACCAGCCTCTTCTAAAAAACACATCTCAAACAGCTTTATTTGACTAGAACATCCCGCACAAATTACCAATGGTCGAAAAATAAAAATATATTTTTATGCCAAATATATTTGGCATAAACATAAATAACTAAAACAGCTAGGAAGAAAATTGCGTGTCGAACCCGATGCTTTAAAGTTGGGTCTTAAATTTTTACAATAACGTTAGTATGACAGCGGAATGACCAGTTTTTATTTGTGAACTCCGTATTTACGGCAACTTAGTTAATAATGAAAGTTCGAAGATCCGAAGAAGTGCTCGTACAGAACCAACTGCGTCCAGTGAACATTCGCTTCTCACTAACTCTTTGAGCTCGGCTGCGAATCTTAAATTTGTGAGTGCATCGCCGGAGACGAAGAGTACGCAAACAATCACTCCGACAGTCCTCGTCACCATCATCTCCTTGGTCAAGGTCACTTTTAGGTTTGCGCGATCCCAAATTATATTAGACATTGAAACTGTGAAACAAGGTCAATGTACACCACAGACCTCAAAAACGCAAAAGATATCAGTTCTGCGTTTACTAGCTCCAATCCATACACGCAGCTTACGATACAACAATGATCTGCAAGATAAGTATGCTTATACTACGGAGTGAATAACAAAGTAAAAAAGAAATTATGGGGATTGACCACGGCGCACACAGCAGATTGACGTGCAAATATTTGCACCACAGAAGAGGGCTGGCGCCGATAAAAGAGAACATCAGACAGGCGAGAGCATAGCAAAAGGAAACAGAAAATAAGAATGTCCACCGGAAAACAGAAACAGCATTTGAACAACCAGGGGGTTGGTTAAAACGGGGAAAATTGCTTAAGCGGGACAGCGACCAAAGGGCGTCAAAAACCTGACCAAATAAACGACAAGCCGAGGAAAACCTTTAGTTTTGTAATTTTGCAAAAGGTTGAAAATTGTCGTTACATGTGTATTAATGTCTGAAGTTGAAGGACAATAAGCCCTCATCGGTGGATATGTTTCAAGTTCCCTGTCATGACTCCAGAATTGCCTTTGTGCATTTTTTACCACTGAATGCTTTGACGAAATAAAGATCCCCTTGGGAAAGGCGCACGCGGCAGAATTTGTTGGAACCAGCAAATTAACATGCCCTTGTGGATGCAAGTACACTGGCTGAACCCAAAGGCCAGGTCAGTTAAGCACCTGCCTAAATGGCTTCTAAACCAAGAAATTAAAATTCCTCGTTCTTCTATTAAGAAACCCCTCCAAGATAGCCATTATTCCGTTGACCCCAAAACATCCTTCCGAGTATTATTTCGGGAACTAACCGCTCGGATATTGAGCTACTTTGTATTAACCTATACAGGGCGGGAGAAACCCGACCTATGCAAACAGTTCCACCAAGTGATCGCACCCTGCGTGCCCTGGTAATTCTCTGACCCTTGATGTGCACACCCCCTTTGCGTGTTAACTTCCTCACTTTCCTTCCTTAGTCGTATTTTTATGTCGCGATTTTTATTGATTAGCCTGTGTGCAGTAAACGATGACCTTGCTTTTTTTCATTCATTTTTCTGTTGAAATTCAAATCGCTGTATATTTCTCCTTCGTTATCTGTGTTGTGCAGTCATAGGGTGCATTTGATAAGCAGCCGCGAAATTCGCTGGTTTTAATAGGTTCTGTGGTGTATACCTGCTTTAAATTTATGCCGGGAAATGCTGCTTCAATTAACCCTTTTGTCGAAAAATCCCATACATAAATAAGATTTCGCCTTATTAGTCCGCGACCTGGAGATGTCCCATTCGACATTTCAAAAACGAATGCAAATGAATTTTTCCGTGGTTCCTGTGCAAGATATTTAGTCTCGCTCTTAAAAGCGAAACCTACCCTAATCTGCGGAAGCACTCACACATTTTGCCTTTTTTCAAACACGATCACTCTGTGCCATTTGACAACTTTCTACCAACAAACCTCCTCCCGGCAGTTTCGAAAATCCTAGAGACATTGATCAAAGGTAAGGTGATGTGTCGCATAACGAAGAATAACCAGCTGAATGCTGATCAGCATGGATTTCTCAAAGCTCGATGATGTGACACTTGTCAGCTCTCTTTCTTCGAACATGCTCTCCAATCTAGGGACAATGGTTTTGCACTCCACGCTGTCTATTTCGGCCTAACCAAGACTTTCGATCGTGTGGAAAATTCTGTCCTTATCATGAAACTTTCCTCCTTCGTAATAGGTGGTAAAAATCTGGATACGATATCCTATTACCTGGATTCTCACACATAACGAGTCAAGATTTGTGATGTTATCCCCAACCCTGCACGTGTGAGGAGTGGAGTTATTCAGTGTAGCGTAAGAACGAGGCCCAGAAAATTTGCTCTTCCGGCCTCTCTGATCCTGGTTGGAAACGCGACATTCTGTACAAGAAAGAGTTACGGTGTTAGTTTTAGGGGCCGGAGGTTAGGCGAATTTCGCGAACCATTCACTAATAAATTGTTCCAGTCGACCATCACTGCGTTGGAGTCTTCGGTTATCAATGCCTCTTGGTTCTGGGGCAACTCTTCGGTTAACCAGAGCATCGCCTCGTCAAACTCAGGAGTCTGATTGGACGGCCTATATACGGTCACGCATCCTTAGTTTTAACCACATTGCTTTACAGTCGTGGGAGCTATCAGTATTGTCTTCTGACGAGACGACGCCTCTCATGACTTAGATCACTAGCCCTTCTCGTTCTTTATAATAACAATAATTTTTATTCAAGACCCGTTGGGGGCCTCTCATAGCAAGTAGGAATAACTTTTGCACGAATTTATAATTTTAGAACGAGTATGCAGAATCTATACAGTACTTAATTCAAAGTTATTGAATAAGCAGTATGTTACGAATAATGATGAGCGAGCAGTGAAAAAAACTTCTAACCTATAAACAAAATGAGTATGTCTGGATTAAAATTATGGGAGAAAAAACTGTCACTCCAGAATGTATAAAAAGTAGGCAGGACCGGCCTGTATGTGGCAGTGTAAAACGAGTTTCATAAAGGGGAAAGTAGGCTTGTCAGGCAGGACTAGTCTGCATGTAGTATTGGGCAAAACGTTCGAAACGGACATAATGAATGCAGAGTTCATATGCCGGATGAGGACATTCATGTCCAAGTAACGAATAGAAAACCAGTCTCGAGGCGATAGGAACCCAGATGCGATCGGTTACAGTCAGTCGTGTCCATCCAAGGAGGGAGCAAGGAAGATGCGACCAGACTACTAGTGTATGGCGAATACATAAGGGTTTTGCCAAGAGCGTCGATAGAACGCATTCTGTGAGGGCACGGTGCATGAACTGAAAAATCGAAAAAATTAACATTCCTGATGGGGGATCCTAGGAATCAGTACTACACAGAAAAGAAGGAAATGTGAGCGGATAAGGAAATTTAATGTTGGCATCCTAAATTCCCAGTGGTCCTTTCTCAGTGTCATGGAGCAAGTTGTCCGGGAAGGATGAGGAAGTAAAAGTCTAATTGAGTCAGTATTCAGATTGAGGCGTAGCCTTCTCTTAAAAGTGTATAGATTATCTGGGTAGTTATTCCAGAGGAAAGTATATCTGGAAGAGAAAAAAGAGAGCGTTTAGAGGTGGAGGAAGCGGGAGAAGGTAAAAACAAGGAAGAGTTGCGAAGATTGTGAGGGCGACTACTGGGGTAAGTACTGAAATCTGAGGAAGATTTGAACTATTATTAATGCGAAAGAGGAGACAGAAGCCTGCTTCTAGTATTCGAACCCATAAAAACTTTAGGTTAGTTAGCTGGCATCTATCTGAGTAGGAGATATTGGGATGTTCCCTATCTAAAAGTTTTTTAGAAAAAAGGCTTTGGACATTTTCAATTTTTAAACGACTAGCCTCGTTCATCAAACCGGAGAATGGGCAACAATACTCGAGAATTGGAAGTACAAACATACGATAGAGCCTTAATTTAATTTCAAGTAGATAGAAATTGTAAGAAATAAAGCCACAAATCTGGGCAGCTATGTCTGTAATTCTGTCAGTGTGTGGCGAGAGATCAAGATAATTAGCGTAGCTTACACCTAAATCCTTGATGAGTTGCCACTAGTTGGGGTAGCCTATCGGGTCCAAAACACATATAGCGACATTTAGACGGCGAGAATTCCATTATACATTTTGAGCCAAAGCTGTGAGAGCAAGCAAGTCTGCATGGATTTGCTCCAGGCAATGAAGGCTCGTAGATTTGTTGAAAAAATATACACATTTGAGATCATCGGCGTAAATAAATGATTGAGAATGTTTAACTGCTGCCGAAATATCATTTATGTAAAGCAAGAACAAAAGAGGAATAAAGAAGGTACCTTGTAGGGCACCACTTACAATAGGGCCTTCACTGGAAATTGAAGATCCCAACAAAACCTTTTATTTACGATTAGACAGGTACGATCTGAGAAAGTCTATTAGTGGACTGCGAATTCCCATAGCTTCCAATTTAACCAAGAGTCTTTTATGTGGCACTTTATCAAAGGCTTTACTAAGATCAAAATAAATAACGACAACAGACAGATGGTCATTATGAAGAGAGGTAAGTAGATTGAGAAACGACAAATGACATGTTTCACAAGAACGATCTGGTAAAAAAAACATGCTGGGAAGGGCTAATAACTTGAGTGGCTATGCAAAAGTCGATAATTTTTAAGACAATAATTTTTTCAAAGGTTTTAGCAAGAGGGGGTGTTTTATGGACATTTCAATAGTTCTGAACATCAGAACTCCAGCCAGCCTTTAATACTGGAATGATAATAGAAGTTTTCTAACAGTCAGGAAAGCAGCTATATACGAGAAATACTGAAAAGAGTTTGCTAACCGGTTTCAGTTTATTTCCGTTTATTTGGTAAGGATAATAGGCAATGCCTTTGAAAACCCCAATGATTATTTGTCAGCTCGTTAGGAATAACTGTACACGAACAATAAAAATATTCTCCGGTGAAACAGTACTTGATTCATTTGAGTATCATTGTCTTAGAGAAAATACTTGCAGGGTCCTGGGGTATTAGTTCAGACTCACACTCTTAGCTGTTTTATAAGAGGGTGTGGTATATTGCACGTACCTACTGAGTGAAAGTTAGGAAGACGGTTTATCAGATTTTGAATAGTTTCAGGAGAAAAAATTAATAATGCTGAGAAAGACACCAGACAACAGAGGAATTAAGGGAAATTGGGTCAGTTTCAATGGGGAAATGTTTGACAAAGAATGAATCTAACAATTCCGCTTTGCCTGACTCCTCTGTATAGAAGGTATCGTTGGTACTAAGCGAAGGCGGAGTAACTTGGTGGGATTTAACAGATGATCTATGACGGAAGATCTGAGTAACTGATTTATGCACTCTGTCTCGGCGAAAAAGTTGATATTCATAGAGTGCAAGTTCGGCATCCAAGATTTCAGCCCGGAA